ATTCAAAGAAACACGAAGCGCGCTTAAAGGATGGATATCTCGTCGTTCCTGAATCATGAAAGCATCTTTTAGAACAAAAGGGAGGGGACAATAATGATTATCCAGTGCTACGCACCCACCTATGATAGCGAAGATGATGATAAAGACCAGTTTTATGAGAGGCTTCAGTCGAACGTAAAGTGCCTAGGAAAGGACCTGATCATCCTGGAAAGGAATAAAAGCAGCACAAATTTCAAAGTACCAGGTGTTGGGCCACAAGAACGACCATCATAAGGAACGGATCTCTATCAAAAACCTGGACAGGATTCGAGAAAAGAACAATTAGGCAGAAATTAATAACAGTTGAACAAGAGCAGCGGAAGCCAAGGCACAGGCCGAATACCCAGTATTTGTAAACAATTTTCTACGAAAGATGCTCAATGTCTGTTGTCAGGATACCACCAGCAGCATCCTACTGTGAAAGAGAGCAAATCGACTTCTAGCTGAAGAGTAAAGTAGGAAAAGGCGTTGGAATTGGATAGGACCCACATTGAGGAAATCACAAAACTTTACTACGAGGCATGCCCTAACTTGAAAGGAAGACCAAGGACTTTGAGAAGTTTAGTTATACTTCAAGAACAATTTTACGTGGACCCATAGATTATCATAAACTTTCTAGTATGTTAAGCAAGTCCAGAGAGAACACTTGACGTAACGGGTATAGAATTGTCTTCGTACACATGGAGTCTGACTTCAGCCACTAAGCCCTAGGTTCGAACCTCGCGCCACCCACTTTGTTTGGGGCAACCGGATATTAACATTACCATTCATATTAAGATTGTACCGAAGTATCTGTCAAGTGAATTAACTTAAGACTATGTTCCTTATTGCCCACTCAGTAAATAGGCCTTTAAAATCGAGGATTTCTCGATAAAAAGGCAATTTAACATAAAAGTAGTTTTACATAATCTACTGACTATTCAGTGCATCCATAATTCATTTGATAAGTAGTTTTGGACGTTGGAGAGAATTCTAAATGGGTCTTTTCAGTTAGAATATTTATCCAATTAAATGCGTTTACCTTCAGTGAGTGTTCACACATCAAACTTTATATTAATCTTGACTGACCTGAAAGTAGATACAGACCGTACAGTGAATGGATGAAGTTATCTTTTGAAATTCCTGCAGAAAACTGGTAGTAGGTATCTTAATCCTTTTTGCTTTGATGTTGAGGGAACTATTTATGATCTTCCGATAGAAATAATGGGTCTGTAAACTGACTTCTTAATTCGACATTTTATACAGTAAGCAATGACGTAATCCTATTCATAATCCACATTGGATAAGTTTCAGAGTCAGAAAATGTAGGATATCCCTTCTTCCTATGAATTTATATTTATGCACCAGTGTTCTAATATATTTCATTAAGCAACAATTCAGATCAATAACAAAGAACTAATGAAAAATTGTGCATTTTAAACTCCAGTCTGATTGAGAGTTACATTTTTTTATTAGTAATGACTGCCAAGTTTAGTCCTAGTATAGTATAGTATTTGTATTCGTGATTATTATGTAATACAAAGTTTGGAAATCACTGATTTTAAAATGTATCACATGGTGAGTAAACACCGACGTAATCTTTGTCATAATAACATGAACTTCATATTCATGTGATACAAACATTTCTATAAAAAATAAAAACAATCTTTTTTAGTTTTTATGATGACTTTAACATAGACTGAAATACTTTTCCTTTTATATTTGAAGGAAACCATCAATAAGCAAGTAATTAATCAGTTAACTTAAGATTTGAATTGTTCAAAATAACTCATTGTACTCAACATATTTTGAGTGAAAAAATAATGAAACAAGAATATCTCGAAAATAAGTAGTATTATGTAAAATTAGAGAGTAAGTGGATTTACAAAAATGATTTTATTATGATAAAAGGTTCAATTATACGATACTTCGTCTGATATGGGGGTATTTTCAGGAAATGAATAAATTCGTGATCATTTTATGTCGATGTCAGATAAGCGCTTATTAATGATGCTAACTATATTTTTATAAGGATTAAATAAAACATTAATTAATTTAATCTTACGCTACATATATATAATATTAGAATAATAAATATGCAAATAAGCGTAGATACATAAACTATGTACATAATATTATCACATGATAGTTTGCATATCAAGTCGTAAATTATAACCATCTTATAGTATACAAAAACTGATACATAAGATGATAGAAATATGAAACAATGTTTAAAAATAGCAATATACAATACAGGTGAACAATAAAAATTAACTCCAAAAAGAAAAACACAAAATATATAAAGATTTCTCTATACTCATTCATGATATGCATGTCAATTAAGTTTAATTGTGAATTTAGCAGTAAAACTAATTTAATCCAAATCAGATATAAATGTGTGAAGATAAGTGAACTACAACATTTCAGTTCAGGTTTGAATAAAACCATATATTGTACTGTTGTATAAAAAAATAGGCTGAGAATAGTATGGTCGAAATACAGTAGGAACTTAAGATATAAAACTCTGGTTTAAAAATTTGTGAAACCTATCTCGACAAAATCCCTACTTAACTCTGTTAGTAGGTTTATAGAAAAGGGAAGAAATTTTAGAACAAAGTGCTCGTTATTTACTGTAAATTGCGACAGATTGTTTCTAAAGAATCCTAACATTTACATCACTGTCCTTAATGGACATGGCTTTTCGTAGAACTAACAATTAAAATCATGCATCACTCTTAAACTTTCACAGTAACCAATAAATTTTATTTAGATCGATCGCATTTTAGCTTTACGGTATTAAAGATAACCATTTATCACCTTTTAGCTTAGCATTCTTCATTTTTCTTATCTTTCCAAATGCTATAAATACATTTGGACGCAATAAACGAAAGCTTCACTGAGGTTAGAACGAAAACTAATCCACTCTACGAAATAATATTTCAATTATATAAGAATAATTGAATACACAACATAGGCTGTTACGGATACAAGAAATCGAGCAATGAATGGTCATGATGCCTCAAAATCTAATGACGTCTAAAAACTGGTCGCTATACGCTGTTGGAACTTATTCTGAGTCATTCATCAACTACGATTAAAATGCTACACCCAATTATGAAATCTGGGCCTACCTATCCGTTAAATATGTAGTAACTTCAAGAATTACTGTCGTGGTTTCATTTGGCCACACAGATTTTAGAACTTACTCTTACGTTACCAACAAAATAAACTGAAGTAGGCAGACAACTCATATATGCAACACCACGGTTCTGAAATTTTATCATGAACAAGAAGGATTCAAATATCCTGAAACTATTTACATGGTAGGATCCGCTTGGTGAAAGAAAGAGATAAGTCGATAAATAAGAAAGCTTATGTTATTTAATTTAATGTCAATCAGAACCCGACCAACCACCCGTAAGTAACTGATGTTTAGACTAACAACGATTCTTGTATTCAACAGTAAGCAAAATCTTAGTTGAGAAGTGTTGTAGTCTGAAGATAAATTCCTGAAAAAATCCTTTTCGTACGTAAATCAAGAAAAAACGCTACTCACTCATGAGAACGTAATAACGAGTACTACGAGAAAAAATCGCAGCAACCACAGGTTCATATATATTGCAGATTCTTAACAGCAGTATAGTTCCAATTTTGTTCAGGACAATACAAACGTCATCGGCTGTTGTTCAACAGAAAACTAAACTCCACCTAAATAAGAAAAACTGTTGCAATCCATGCTGTAGAGATACGAAGATGGAAGACATACACAGTACAGTGGAGCCAACATCCATTGCTTGCATACAACATTAATAATCCCCCATATAAAAGAGATCATACGCTTATGTTTCTATGCATCAGCGATGACAGTGTATTTGGAAATATGACGAAGGGTGCTGAGTCAAAACCCCCATTAGATCATCCTAATTGTTGTAAATCAGTTGAAGGTTCGAGAGAACAACGCTGCAGTTTAGTGTGGTAGAGGTGTACCAGTGGTCGTTATGGTAATCTGAATACTTAGCTTTAATTCAAGTAACTCATTCACTAAGTATTTAAATATCAGCCGCAGAGTGTATCGGCGTGATATTACCAGGTTACATAAACCAAAATAGACTGGGCGGGTTCGCACATGGGACTTAGTGACTGAACTTCAAACGCCGTAACCACTAAGTTATTGCTCTATTAATTAATAATATCAACCGTCACGTATTAAGCTTTCTTCACGTTAATTTGGTGTAGCTGTACATTAGAGAACAAACCACGTACTAGCAACCAGCTAAATGATCCTGAAAGCGTAAAGAATTCGACGTGTTTCCTTTTCAAGTAAAGAGTGACGTATCAACCCAACTAAATTTGGCGGTGACGCACTCTTACGAAAGCTCGTTCAACCCAACAAGCACATATTATGTTCCTTTTATTATAATCTTAACATAAAAACTACACCCCTACCATATTTGGAAGACAACAAATGTTATTTGCCATCTAAATACGAATTAACCGGATAGAACAGTCGTATCAAACACTGAGAAGTAATCGACTGGTAAACAGATCAGTAAAAAATGTGAATTATTTCAATGAAAATAACGAACGTGCTTAACTATAGCTTTGTGTATTGTTTAACTCATGCTTTTAAATCCCTTCTAAAATGTCTCAAAACGTATCTGTAGTTAAAAAATTGTATTCAATACAAGTGGTTAGTGAACAGAATTTTGCAAATAAAGTAATAAATCTGAGAATACCAATCCAGATGTACAAGAACAATACAACTTGAAAGCTTAAAAAAGTATGGCATTTACTAATTAGATAAAGGAATATTAATAATAAGGAAAACCAAATGCAGCACCCTAGGGATCAGCAAATGGTGTAAAAAGGACGCTAAAATGAACACAGGGCTAAAATATGTTGGAAAAATATAAAACACGAAATAGATGCCTTTTGTAAACGTTCTCTCAATCACAAACGAAACTCAGAAGCTTGAAAGAAGTTTAATAGTGATCTCCATTTGATGACGGTAACCGAAACTCCTCTGGGATATCTAAAAGAATATCTGATCCCGTAAGACTGGGACGAATTTCCTTTGGGAGCCGCTTTTTTAAATCGTAATGCATCAATATGTCTCGAGTTGCTGGGCAAGAATCTTTAAACGAATTTAGGCCATAAATATTCCGAAGATAAATCCATATGTGATTCATATCAAGAGGAATATCGAAATTATGGTATGCCCTGCCTGCAACACGGACATGCTGTAATTTGGGTGCCAATTGACAATCAACATAGGATATCTCATCACCCATAGCATAAGGCTTTGCCGCAGACGCCAAGTAACTATTTAAGCTGGATAATACTGTATAAAGAGACGTTTTATCATCGTACATTATGTACTGCATTAAACTGCTATACAAATCTTCAAAAACTTTCTCAGCTGCTCTGACATCAGACGCCTTTAGGTTGCGATTGAGATTAGGACAACCTAACTTTATTAACAGTGTTTCTAGTGATTCCGTAGAAGAGATAACGAGTCCACTGGCATCCTCGCCATCTATAGTTCCTGATTTGATCCATGAAATAGGGAGATGTCGAGCAGCATTTAGTCGCACATAACTGGCAGGTTGCAAATCCATAGTCATAGGAGTAACCTGTAGCTTTATATAACCTTTCTCAACAAGACAACATAAAGTCATGAGCCACTGTTGGCTGATTAAACAAGCTCCTTTTTCTTTCCGATCTGATAGGGCTGCTTTTAAAAACAACTCCACGAATGGTTTATCACCGTCCGCCATAATAGCACATGGAAGCAAATAAACTACAGATATAAAAAAGGAAAGCGGTGATATAGGTGATGACATGGTTTCAAATATTCAGAAACTGACTACAGGATGGAGACACATCAACAGGGAACTGCAATGTTGAAAAACGGGTCAATAGAAAAACCACAATGATAAATCTACAGTCAAAATAATGGTCCACCTCAGTGTTTAAGAAGTTCGACGATCTATCCATTGAAGGGCTTGCGAAATTACCGAATCTTCGCCTAAGTACTGATGCGTATTTATTTATTAAAACACAAATATTGGTACCAAGGGGAACCAAATACATATGTGCCACACAAGTCACTTGATTTTTGTGTGGGCTGTGATACATCAGTATCTCGATCCAAATCGACGAATATCAGCAGTGTTTAATGAACTCGTATATACGATATTCCTAAGCCGCGACATACGAATTAAACATCTTGCCTCTCTTCCTCTATTAAACGGAGAAAAGCCAAATCTTTAACCTGCCACATATAGTCGTGGAATGAAGTGCAGTCTCAAGGTACTCGTATTCGTCACAGACTCACTGGATGGTGCCTAAGGGATAGTAAAAAGGTCTTGAGGTATTGTCAGACGTGGTTAGGGATAAAGGTTTTGATTATGCCGTGGTTTGTATTGTATACGTTACCAATCCTATGACCACTCCGATCAAAACAAATTCGGCCATCGTTATGTCTCTACATTAAACATCTCGAATACATCCCATTATTGTTAATTATTTTCCCTCTTCTAATACTTCAACACAATATTAACTCGTTTCGAGAGGAATTGCTTTTAGCAACTTAATGTATGAAACGCTTTGTAATGAAATAGAACAGTAGTAACTAATCAAAAATAATGAACAATGATAAAGTGTACAAATTAGGATTTCAATGCTTGGAGGATACAAAAGATTTAAGCTAGTAGCGAATTGTGAGTAATCATTTTTTTGGCTTCGGAAGTGAAACATAAGTTGCCTTACTCTCTACATTGATCTACGTACCAACACCATCTACATTCAATAGTACCCTCTCTAAAATTACATCACAAGAATGATTGTGAAAAGACCATTACTACTGATCATGTGGTCTACGGACATTATTTTTTCAAAACTACATCTTGGCTTCTAAACCGACAAACTGCTGTAACCTGGAGTAGATGAAAAGTACCAAATCAGCTTTTAAACACTGAATGGCCACTGAGTACCAACTAATATTGTTTACCTAGCCCTTAGTACAAACAACTGATAAAAGTTGACGAAAAACCTTCCGAACCAATGAACGGACGCCTGATAACCTAATCTTTCATACATTTGTTAGCCCCAATTATGTCAGACGTTTTCAACATTTCACTACATTTTCAAAAACAAAGAGGTCAGGAAGAATAACCAGCTGGAAGCAGAAACACAGAGGTGAACAAAGAGTTGTGCCAGTTTGTGAGACCATAGATAATTAAATTTGATTACACAATTGAGTGCAACATAGACCTCAGAATTTACTAATTGATATGGTCACAATGAGACTTTTACACGGAACCGTCTAATTCCAGTGAAACCCACTGAAGACATTACTTGTGGCATTAGAATACCCAAATACTTTGTTGAGTAACCTATGTCAAGAATGTATTGTATTTGGACGCGAATTAAATTCCCGTCAAGGATCCATCTCGCTAACACTGACAGATCGTAACTACACGAGGAATCTCGGATGTGATTTGTTGCAGACATATTAGCAACTAATAATAATTTATTCCTAGGTTTTCTAGAAACACTTACGTTGTGTTTAGTTGGTGAGATAGCATTCTGTCAATCTTATTACAACAATTTATAGGACGTGCAAATTATACAGGCTAGTAATTACCACTTAACACAAACCACAAGACTTCCGAACATAGGTAACAATAAACCAACCTCTTTTGAAACAAACTAGCCTCTCTTAAGTCAGTGGCAAGAATTACAATCACCAATTGGAACGTTCAAACAAATTAACACTCAGTATTACTATGAGAGCTTAAACAACATTCACTGATCCCTGTGTTTTTTCATATTGAGATTTTTTGAGGAAAATGTTTACACTACGTGTGACGATAGACAAGTCACATAACTCGATGTGACAAAAAAGTTCAAGGTGTAAGCATATGGTGTTTTTTCAAACTCATGAGGATCCCTTCTTAGGTAGCTGGACTTGGGTGGAAGTAACACATAATATATACAAATTCGGAAACAACTAATCCTCAAAGAGTATGCTAATTTTGCTTTTTATGAATGATTAAGACTTTGGCACGATCTCTGACTATGGAGGTGATATCTAAAATTCACAATTTTGCTTTGATGCTCTGATAAATGGCTTTGATAAAATACCGTTATTGAGTATACCAAACCGAACGTTTCAGTTATTGGTTACGGATTGTGGGCCCAGAGAAATGTCATGGACCTTACCAAATCATCCATCAGTCAGGTAATCGAAAATCGGGCAATTTACTGATCCCTGTCAAAGTCAAGAATATCCAACGCGCATCAACTAATCGAACGTCATGGATTAGTCCAAGCCATGGTGACCACATTTTGTTCCGTGAACCCAACCTACTAATATATTACAGTGATAACGTCGTTCGTGTCGTACGGTCATCAAACTAGCCACGGGACAGAGATACAGAGAGAAAATAACGACGTATGAGATCGTTGTACGTTGTTTAGCCACGCGATTCTTACTTACATCAGAAAAAGACTGCATTATGCAACGAACGTAAGATAGTCAAATTATAGTTGCTTCAGTTATTACTTCGTGATCAAATATGGTCATCAGCCTAAACGACTTTCGCGGCGTATCCCGAAAAATCATTTTTATGAGGCTACAAGGTTCTTCACATTGCATTTTAATGCTCGTCTCTTATTCAAACCATGCTACTTGATCAACACAACTTATCATTCACTGAACCAAAATATGTGGTTTTCCTGCTCAAAATCTATGGCTTAAAGATACCCTACGTGTGTGATAGAAGTGGATTTAACCAAGCTACCTCTAGTTTACTGTTAGGGATTAGTCTTCACCTAAGCAAAGTTTATTGGCTGCAGTCTATCCATTCTGATCGTAGGTAGGAATTGAATATATTTATTTGAAGCAAAATTACATCCCTCAATTATAAAGCGTTGTCATACTTAAAATGGCTGTGGCATTTTTAGCTGATAAAGCTGAACGACTAAATGACGGAAACTTGGTAACTGAACTGACTATATCTCCTAGTTTAGGGTTTTCTGATATTGCTTTTAAAGCTGACTACAAGCATATGATGTGGGTTGACTGCTCTGATTACCTCTTAGGTAAGTTTACGTAGATGTAAACTGTTCTTCCAACATTGCAGGTTATATCTCTATTTGAATTGATAGAGTTTTAGGTCGCAAGGGAGGAGGCATAATATTATACGTCGGGGATCACTTACGTACACAATCAGTCATATTGGAGGCGCATGTTAGTGGTACATGTGAGGTAGCATGTCGCACAGTTAAGTCCAGAAACGGGTTAGTGAGGAATATAACGTAGTCCGTGTTGCCTTGCTTACAACTTTATCTTTGGACACATCTGTTCTTGAAGTAAGGCAGAATAATGTCTCATCATTGGAGACTTCAACGCGCCGCATATCAACTGGATAGAGCTTACAGCTCCAGGTGACGTTTTCGACAGCGACCTTCTCTCAACCATTATTCAGTGTGCACTTGTTCAATGTATCGCGAAACCGAAATATTTTGCTTGGAACATGACCCGTCATTGCTGGACCTTGTCATGACATACCACTGTAAGAATGTCACCGACGTTCAGCACCTTCCCTCACAGGTGAATAGTGATCACGTTGTACTGTACGTTAAGTTTGGCACACATGGTTCACAATTGGCATTTGCTCCACCCCATCATAACATATGGCGATCTAATATTCCGGCAAACAGAGACTGTGCTATGTCGGCTGACTGGTCGGTTAACGTGGATCGATCGGCTACATTCGAGTCCGTAACATCACCGTTAATCCCATGGTCAACACGTAAAATATCACACTGCACACCATGGATTATTAAGCAAACCGGTGAGCTGTTGAAGTGTAGGAAACACTTCTGGGACTTATTCTTGTCAACAGTACACGCATAATTTAAGTGTGAATATAAAGAATCCAGAACATATATAAAAAAAGCCATAGCTAAATCCCGCACTACTTTCGAACGAAAGTTGGCATATGGTAATCGTACTTGTCCGAAACGATTGTTTTCGTATGTTAAACGGCTAACAATACGTAGTGATGGCATTACCTCACAACTGTTACACGAAAATTCAGATTTAGTATCTGAATCAGACTAGACAAAAGGTGAGACTTTTTCAAACTATTTTGGCGGAGTCTAACTAACCTCAAACCTTGTAAGATATCCGGCCGTGACGGGTTACGTCATTTCTGTCATTTCTCGCGGACATTATTTCAAGGCCGCTCGCGGCGCTATTCAACCGATTCTTTCACCCGCCCAACTCCCTAGAGTTTGGAAAGACTCTGTAGTCAGTCTTATATTCAAGGATGGTTAGATGCAGATCGTATCTAAATACCGGCCTGTCAGTCTAACTGGTATAGTCGTTAAGTTTCTTGAAAAGATAACTCGGGTTAAGTTACTAAGTCACATAAATTCGCACAATCTGTTGACTCCCGAGCAACATGGGTTTCATAACAAGCGTCCATGCCTGAATGACTTACTCATTGAGAGAGAGGATCGGACAGCAGCCATAGATAACGGCTTGCCTGTCGATGTGCTATTCACAGGTTTTAGCAAAGCATTTGACAAGTTTTCACACTTAGGTCTTGTGCAGAAGCTCTCGAGTTTTGAAGTAATAGGTGCTGCACATCAATGGATAGTAAACTTCTTATGCGACCACAGACAGAGAGTGAGGGTCAGTGGAATGCGATCCAAATGGAAGCCAGCGAAAAGTGTTGTGCCCCAAGTTAATGTCTTAGGCCCTCTACGTTTTCTTCTTTGCGTCAATGAATTACCACTGTTGCTTAAGTCGTCGACACTATTGTTTGAGGATGATGTAAAAAACTTGAGAACGATAAGAAGTGAGGCTGATCATTTGAATCTCCAAGCTGACTTAGATGAACTAGTTGGATGGGCTAGAGGCTGGGGCTTAGTTAATTCTAGGAAGAGTGTGCTCATGCACATCGGACGCGATAATATTTACAATTATACTATTGATGATACATCTCTTCCACGCGTTCAAGAATATATCGACTTAAGAGTAATAATAAGTCTTGACTTGAAAACAACTACGCACTACAACGCAGCTGCTGTCAATGGTTTCCGTGGGTATGGTCCCTTTGCCTAGCATTCGAATGCTTTGACAAGGAAATGTTTCGAATTTTATATCCCACCTATGTAAGACCACACTTAGAGTACTGTATCCAAACACCTAGCCCGTGTCTGATAAAGTATATTAACCCACTCGAGCGTGTTCAGCATGTGAGAAAAAATCAATAAAAAAGGTCTTTGTAAACTCCCTTACAATGAGTGCTTAAAACGCCTAAACCTTTTCCCCTTGTCGTATAGTAGGACGCGAGATGACTTTATACTTGCATTTTGTATCTTTAATTATGATTGGGATGTTAATGTGTCTTATCGTTTTGCTCCTCCCAGCACTAATAATCTCCGAGGTCATAGGAAAAAGGTTCACAAGTCACGATCTAATAAACGTAAAGTGGGGTCCCGTTTTGTTCATCAAGTGTTCAATGACTGGAACACCTTACCCGAAAGTGGTATCAGTGCAATCAGTGAATATTTTTAAGAAGAAGCTGTGCCTTCACTGGAAGGCAATCTGTCAGGATTAAAATAGGTTCATTATTCTACCATCCTTATTACTGAAGACTGAAGACAGTGCATATCTTAATTCAAGAAAGGGTGAAATAACCCCTAGTGGGCTTTCACCCAAGTCGTCAGTAAAATGTTCAGACTGGTTAAATAGTTTCATAGTAATTATTGGTATTAAGATGCCTTTTTGAACAGGCTTAAGGTCTCAAGAAGGTTTTTCGCATTGCTGTAGCTTCGTTTTATCTCCAATCAAGCAGTTGTTAAAATTTATCACTTGCTAGGGCATTTATGCACGGCACCACTTTGACGTTTGTTAGTTGTTAGCATATATGATCTGTCTGCTTTATTTCATTGCAAGTAAAAAGCCCTATATGCCCATCCTAGGAAGTAACCCAGTCTTCAACAAAGCAGGATGATATTCCATCCAATATATTACTCAGTAACGATCATGAGATCACCTACTCATGGTCTTGGTTTAGGCATTTCTGGTGTACGATCTTCTAGGAACTCAAAAACAAAATTCATAGTTTCAGACGTTATAACAAACGGCCCAGCCTATGAAAAGGTCAGGTATGCTTTTGAACACGTTTCCTAATGTACTTTTAGCAAAAACGATGAACTGGTTAGTGTTAATGGAATAAATTTGGATTGCCTGAGATATTCTGAAGCCATCCAGATTCTGCGTGAATGCGGTGATGAAGCTGAGTTGAAGCTGTTAAGTCGCAATGGACAGGCCAACTACCACAATTTGCCACTTGCTTTAGAAAAAGACTGCATTATGCAACGAACGTAAGATAATCAAATTATAGTTGCTTCAGTTATTACTTCGTGATCAAATATGGTCATCAGCCTAAACGACTTTCGCAGCGTATCCCGAAAAAATCATTTTTATGAGGCTATAAGGTTCTTCACATTGCATTTTAATGCTCGTCTCTTATTCAAACCATGCTACTTGATCAACACAACTTATCATTCACTGAACCAAAATATGTGGTTTTCCTGCTCAAAATCTATGGCTTAAAGATACCCTACGTGTGTGATAGAAGTGGATTTAACCAAGCTACCTCTAGTTTACTGTTAGGGATTAGTCTTCACCTAAGCAAAGTTTATTGGCTGCAGTCTATCCATTCTGATCGTAGGTAGGAATTGAATATATTTATTTGAAGCAAAATTACATCCCTCAATTATAAAGCGTTGTCATACTTAAAATGGCTGTGGCATTTTTAGCTGATAAAGCTGAACGACTAAATGACGGAAACTTGGTAACTGAACTGACTATATCTCCTAGTTTAGGGTTTTCTGATATTGCTTTTAAAGCTGACTACAAGCATATGATGTGGGTTGACTGCTCTGATTACCTCTTAGGTAAGTTTACGTAGATGTAAACTGTTCTTCCAACATTGCAGGTTATATCTCTATTTGAATTGATAGAGTTTTAGGTCGCAAGGGAGGAGGCATAATATTATACGTCGGGGATCACTTACGTACACAATCAGTCATATTGGAGGCGCATGTTAGTGGTACATGTGAGGTAGCATGTCGCACAGTTAAGTCCAGAAACGGGTTAGTGAGGAATATAACGTAGTCCGTGTTGCCTTGCTTACAACTTTATCTTTGGACACATCTGTTCTTGAAGTAAGGCAGAATAATGTCTCATCATTGGAGACTTCAACGCGCCGCATATCAACTGGATAGAGCTTACAGCTCCAGGTGACGTTTTCGACAGCGACCTTCTCTCAACCATTATTCAGTGTGCACTTGTTCAATGTATCGCGAAACCGAAATATTTTGCTTGGAACATGACCCGTCATTGCTGGACCTTGTCATGACATACCACTGTAAGAATGTCACCGACGTTCAGCACCTTCCCTCACAGGTGAATAGTGATCACGTTGTACTGTACGTTAAGTTTGGCACACATGGTTCACAATTGGCATTTGCTCCACCCCATCATAACATATGGCGATCTAATATTCCGGCAAACAGAGACTGTGCTATGTCGGCTGACTGGTCGGTTAACGTGGATCGATCGGCTACATTCGAGTCCGTAACATCACCGTTAATCCCATGGTCAACACGTAAAATATCACACTGCACACCATGGATTATTAAGCAAACCGGTGAGCTGTTGAAGTGTAGGAAACACTTCTGGGACTTATTCTTGTCAACAGTACACGCATAATTTAAGTGTGAATATAAAGAATCCAGAACATATATAAAAAAAGCCATAGCTAAATCCCGCACTACTTTCGAACGAAAGTTGGCATATGGTAATCGTACTTGTCCGAAACGATTGTTTTCGTATGTTAAACGGCTAACAATACGTAGTGATGGCATTACCTCACAACTGTTACACGAAAATTCAGATTTAGTATCTGAATCAGACTAGACAAAAGGTGAGACTTTTTCAAACTATTTTGGCGGAGTCTAACTAACCTCAAACCTTGTAAGATATCCGGCCGTGACGGGTTACGTCATTTCTGTCATTTCTCGCGGACATTATTTCAAGGCCGCTCGCGGCGCTATTCAACCGATTCTTTCACCCGCCCAACTCCCTAGAGTTTGGAAAGACTCTGTAGTCAGTCTTATATTCAAGGATGGTTAGATGCAGATCGTATCTAAATACCGGCCTGTCAGTCTAACTGGTATAGTCGTTAAGTTTCTTGAAAAGATAACTCGGGTTAAGTTACTAAGTCACATAAATTCGCACAATCTGTTGACTCCCGAGCAACATGGGTTTCATAACAAGCGTCCATGCCTGAATGACTTACTCATTGAGAGAGAGGATCGGACAGCAGCCATAGATAACGGCTTGCCTGTCGATGTGCTATTCACAGGTTTTAGCAAAGCATTTGACAAGTTTTCACACTTAGGTCTTGTGCAGAAGCTCTCGAGTTTTGAAGTAATAGGTGCTGCACATCAATGGATAGTAAACTTCTTATGCGACCACAGACAGAGAGTGAGGGTCAGTGGAATGCGATCCAAATGGAAGCCAGCGAAAAGTGTTGTGCCCCAAGTTAATGTCTTAGGCCCTCTACGTTTTCTTCTTTGCGTCAATGAATTACCACTGTTGCTTAAGTCGTCGACACTATTGTTTGAGGATGATGTAAAAAACTTGAGAACGATAAGAAGTGAGGCTGATCATTTGAATCTCCAAGCTGACTTAGATGAACTAGTTGGATGGGCTAGAGGCTGGGGCTTAGTTAATTCTAGGAAGAGTGTGCTCATGCACATCGGACGCGATAATATTTACAATTATACTATTGATGATACATCTCTTCCACGCGTTCAAGAATATATCGACTTAAGAGTAATAATAAGTCTTGACTTGAAAACAACTACGCACTACAACGCAGCTGCTGTCAATGGTTTCCGTGGGTATGGTCCCTTTGCCTAGCATTCGAATGCTTTGACAAGGAAATGTTTCGAATTTTATATCCCACCTATGTAAGACCACACTTAGAGTACTGTATCCAAACACCTAGCCCGTGTCTGATAAAGTATATTAACCCACTCGAGCGTGTTCAGCATGTGAGAAAAAATCAATAAAAAAGGTCTTTGTAAACTCCCTTACAATGAGTGCTTAAAACGCCTAAACCTTTTCCCCTTGTCGTATAGTAGGACGCGAGATGACTTTATACTTGCATTTTGTATCTTTAATTATGATTGGGATGTTAATGTGTCTTATCGTTTTGCTCCTCCCAGCACTAATAATCTCCGAGGTCATAGGAAAAAGGTTCACAAGTCACGATCTAATAAACGTAAAGTGGGGTCCCGTTTTGTTCATCAAGTGTTCAATGACTGGAACACCTTACCCGAAAGTGGTATCAGTGCAATCAGTGAATATTTTTAAGAAGAAGCTGTGCCTTCACTGGAAGGCAATCTGTCAGGATTAAAATAGGTTCATTATTCTACCATCCTTATTACTGAAGACTGAAGACAGTGCATATCTTAATTCAAGAAAGGGTGAAATAACCCCTAGTGGGCTTTCACCCAAGTCGTCAGTAAAATGTTCAGACTGGTTAAATAGTTTCATAGTAATTATTGGTATTAAGATGCCTTTTTGAACAGGCTTAAGGTCTCAAGAAGGTTTTTCGCATTGCTGTAGCTTCGTTTTATCTCCAATCAAGCAGTTGTTAAAATTTATCACTTGCTAGGGCATTTATGCACGGCACCACTTTGACGTTTGTTAGTTGTTAGCATATATGATCTGTCTGCTTTATTTCATTGCAAGTAAAAAGCCCTATATGCCCATCCTAGGAAGTAACCCAGTCTTCAACAAAGCAGGATGATATTCCATCCAATATATTACTCAGTAACGATCATGAGATCACCTACTCATGGTCTTGGTTTAGGCATTTCTGGTGTACGATCTTCTAGGAACTCAAAAACAAAATTCATAGTTTCAGACGTTATAACAAACGGCCCAGCCTATGAAAAGGTCAGGTATGCTTTTGAACACGTTTCCTAATGTACTTTTAGCAAAAACGATGAACTGGTTAGTGTTAATGGAATAAATTTGGATTGCCTGAGATATTCTGAAGCCATCCAGATTCTGCGTGAATGCGGTGATGAAGCTGAGTTGAAGCTGTTAAGTCGCAATGGACAGGCCAACTACCACAATTTGCCACTTGCTTTAGAAAAAGACTGCATTATGCAACGAACGTAAGATAATCAAATTATAGTTGCTTCAGTTATTACTTCGTGATCAAATATGGTCATCAGCCTAAACGACTTTCGCAGCGTATCCCGAAAAAATCATTTTTATGAGGCTATAAGGTTCTTCACATTGCATTTTAATGCTCGTCTCTTATTCAAACCATGCTACTTGATCAACACAACTTATCATTCACTGAACCAAAATATGTGGTTTTCCTGCTCAAAATCTATGGCTTAAAGATACCCTACGTGTGTGATAGAAGTGGATTTAACCAAGCTACCTCTAGTTTACTGTTAGGGATTAGTCTTCACCTAAGCAAAGTTTATTGGCTGCAGTCTATCCATTCTGATCGTAGGTAGGAATTGAATATATTTATTTGAAGCAAAATTACATCCCTCAATTATAAAGCGTTGTCATACTTAAAATGGCTGTGGCATTTTTAGCTGATAAAGCTGAACGACTAAATGACGGAAACTTGGTAACTGAACTGACTATATCTCCTAGTTTAGGGTTTTCTGATATTGCTTTTAAAGCTGACTACAAGCATATGATGTGGGTTGACTGCTCTGATTACCTCTTAGGTAAGTTTACGTAGATGTAAACTGTTCTTCCAACATTGCAGGTTATATCTCTATTTGAATTGATAGAGTTTTAGGTCGCAAGGGAGGAGGCATAATATTATACGTCGGGGATCACTTACGTACACAATCAGTCATATTGGAGGCGCATGTTAGTGGTACATGTGAGGTAGCATGTCGCACAGTTAAGTCCAGAAACGGGTTAGTGAGGAATATAACGTAGTCCGTGTTGCCTTGCTTACAACTTTATCTTTGGACACATCTGTTCTTGAAGTAAGGCAGAATAATGTCTCATCATTGGAGACTTCAACGCGCCGCATATCAACTGGATAGAGCTTACAGCTCCAGGTGACGTTTTCGACAGCGACCTTCTCTCAACCATTATTCAGTGTGCACTTGTTCAATGTATCGCGAAACCGAAATATTTTGCTTGGAACATGACCCGTCATTGCTGGACCTTGTCATGACATACCACTGTAAGAATGTCACCGACGTTCAGCACCTTCCCTCACAGGTGAATAGTGATCACGTTGTACTGTACGTTAAGTTTGGCACACATGGTTCACAATTGGCATTTGCTCCACCCCATCATAACATATGGCGATCTAATATTCCGGCAAACAGAGACTGTGCTATGTCGGCTGACTGGTCGGTTAACGTGGATCGATCGGCTACATTCGAGTCCGTAACATCACCGTTAATCCCATGGTCAACACGTAAAATATCACACTGCACACCATGGATTATTAAGCAAACCGGTGAGCTGTTGAAGTGTAGGAAACACTTCTGGGACTTATTCTTGTCAACAGTACACGCATAATTTAAGTGTGAATATAAAGAATCCAGAACATATATAAAAAAAGCCATAGCTAAATCCCGCACTACTTTCGAACGAAAGTTGGCATATGGTAATCGTACTTGTCCGAAACGATTGTTTTCGTATGTTAAACGGCTAACAATACGTAGTGATGGCATTACCTCACAACTGTTACACGAAAATTCAGATTTAGTATCTGAATCAGACTAGACAAAAGGTGAGACTTTTTCAAACTATTTTGGCGGAGTCTAACTAACCTCAAACCTTGTAAGATATCCGGCCGTGACGGGTTACGTCATTTCTGTCATTTCTCGCGGACATTATTTCAAGGCCGCTCGCGGCGCTATTCAACCGATTCTTTCACCCGCCCAACTCCCTAGAGTTTGGAAAGACTCTGTAGTCAGTCTTATATTCAAGGATGGTTAGATGCAGATCGTATCTAAATACCGGCCTGTCAGTCTAACTGGTATAGTCGTTAAGTTTCTTGAAAAGATAACTCGGGTTAAGTTACTAAGTCACATAAATTCGCACAATCTGTTGACTCCCGAGCAACATGGGTTTCATAACAAGCGTCCATGCCTGAATGACTTACTCATTGAGAGAGAGGATCGGACAGCAGCCATAGATAACGGCTTGCCTGTCGATGTGCTATTCACAGGTTTTAGCAAAGCATTTGACAAGTTTTCACACTTAGGTCTTGTGCAGAAGCTCTCGAGTTTTGAAGTAATAGGTGCTGCACATCAATGGATAGTAAACTTCTTATGCGACCACAGACAGAGAGTGAGGGTCAGTGGAATGCGATCCAAATGGAAGCCAGCGAAAAGTGTTGTGCCCCAAGTTAATGTCTTAGGCCCTCTACGTTTTCTTCTTTGCGTCAATGAATTACCACTGTTGCTTAAGTCGTCGACACTATTGTTTGAGGATGATGTAAAAAACTTGAGAACGATAAGAAGTGAGGCTGATCATTTGAATCTCCAAGCTGACTTAGATGAACTAGTTGGATGGGCTAGAGGCTGGGGCTTAGTTAATTCTAGGAAGAGTGTGCTCATGCACATCGGACGCGATAATATTTACAATTATACTATTGATGATACATCTCTTCCACGCGTTCAAGAATATATCGACTTAAGAGTAATAATAAGTCTTGACTTGAAAACAACTACGCACTACAACGCAGCTGCTGTCAATGGTTTCCGTGGGTATGGTCCCTTTGCCTAGCATTCGAATGCTTTGACAAGGAAATGTTTCGAATTTTATATCCCACCTATGTAAGACCACACTTAGAGTACTGTATCCAAACACCTAGCCCGTGTCTGATAAAGTATATTAACCCACTCGAGCGTGTTCAGCATGTGAGAAAAAATCAATAAAAAAGGTCTTTGTAAACTCCCTTACAATGAGTGCTTAAAACGCCTAAACCTTTTCCCCTTGTCGTATAGTAGGACGCGAGATGACTTTATACTTGCATTTTGTATCTTTAATTATGATTGGGATGTTAATGTGTCTTATCGTTTTGCTCCTCCCAGCACTAATAATCTCCGAGGTCATAGGAAAAAGGTTCACAAGTCACGATCTAATAAACGTAAAGTGGGGTCCCGTTTTGTTCATCAAGTGTTCAATGACTGGAACACCTTACCCGAAAGTGGTATCAGTGCAATCAGTGAATATTTTTAAGAAGAAGCTGTGCCTTCACTGGAAGGCAATCTGTCAGGATTAAAATAGGTTCATTATTCTACCATCCTTATTACTGAAGACTGAAGACAGTGCATATCTTAATTCAAGAAAGGGTGAAATAACCCCTAGTGGGCTTTCACCCAAGTCGTCAGTAAAATGTTCAGACTGGTTAAATAGTTTCATAGTAATTATTGGTATTAAGATGCCTTTTTGAACAGGCTTAAGGTCTCAAGAAGGTTTTTCGCATTGCTGTAGCTTCGTTTTATCTCCAATCAAGCAGTTGTTAAAATTTATCACTTGCTAGGGCATTTATGCACGGCACCACTTTGACGTTTGTTAGTTGTTAGCATATATGATCTGTCTGCTTTATTTCATTGCAAGTAAAAAGCCCTATATGCCCATCCTAGGAAGTAACCCAGTCTTCAACAAAGCAGGATGATATTCCATCCAATATATTACTCAGTAACGATCATGAGATCACCTACTCATGGTCTTGGTTTAGGCATTTCTGGTGTACGATCTTCTAGGAACTCAAAAACAAAATTCATAGTTTCAGACGTTATAACAAACGGCCCAGCCTATGAAAAGGTCAGGTATGCTTTTGAACACGTTTCCTAATGTACTTTTAGCAAAAACGATGAACTGGTTAGTGTTAATGGAATAAATTTGGATTGCCTGAGATATTCTGAAGCCATCCAGATTCTGCGTGAATGCGGTGATGAAGCTGAGTTGAAGCTGTTAAGTCGCAATGGACAGGCCAACTACCACAATTTGCCACTTGCTTTAGAAAAAGACTGCATTATGCAACGAACGTAAGATAATCAAATTATAGTTGCTTCAGTTATTACTTCGTGATCAAATATGGTCATCAGCCTAAACGACTTTCGCAGCGTATCCCGAAAAAATCATTTTTATGAGGCTATAAGGTTCTTCACATTGCATTTTAATGCTCGTCTCTTATTCAAACCATGCTACTTGATCAACACAACTTATCATTCACTGAACCAAAATATGTGGTTTTCCTGCTCAAAATCTATGGCTTAAAGATACCCTACGTGTGTGATAGAAGTGGATTTAACCAAGCTACCTCTAGTTTACTGTTAGGGATTAGTCTTCACCTAAGCAAAGTTTATTGGCTGCAGTCTATCCATTCTGATCGTAGGTAGGAATTGAATATATTTATTCGAAGCAAAATTACAAATATTTTTTTCATCATTGAACTCACCTGTCTATGATGGTAATAGAATTTACCGCTGCAGTGTTTTAGAACTTTTGTATCATTAAAGGTTCGCTAAAAAAATACATATTCAACCTTGCGTAACAGTTGTCACTGGATTATGTTTGGAATCATTGCATTATCTATTAAATAGGACATTTGCGGTAAAAGAATATCTTTAATTTGATCAAATGGCTCTGTTCTTAGATAAAAATACAACTAACCCTGAGTCTATATCACTGGATAAATATAGCTGCAGGAACATTTCAGGTAAAATCCCAATTAGAGTACGCTAATAATATTCAGTAATGATGTCAAGCTAGACATGCTAAAACTGAAACCGAGCTACAACCTTAAACGTGCCCAAGTAGCGTATGTTTACTTTTTACAACGATCAAATAGTATTATTTTTTCATGAATTGTCGGATTTAGAACTTTTATTTATCCCCAAACTAACATTTTTAGATCTTCTTTCTTAATTATCACTGGATTTATCAATGCGAAGTCAGAAACGTTTAAAAATATGAAGTAGATAAAATTCTAGTCAATATGGCTTATTCTACTAGCAAGAGTGATTTGATAGGTACATATTGAGGCAACCAAAAACGTAAATTTATCTTTGGTATACCTTCGAATCGGCGGTAAACTGAAGATGACTATCCGTAGCTCGACTGAATGAAGGGGCTTCTAAAAATATCTTGGTAGTTTGTCTTTACATGTCTTTTGATGTTGTATTTCTTTCTAATTATGTGTTTGTAGGAAAATCGTTTTCGGTACCGTATGGGATCTTTGTATTTTACGTTTAGAATTCATGTTGCTTTCATTGATATTCGGTGATATTTTTATTAGTGCTCGTTGAATTTCATATATTCACTAGCAATTCCATTCCTTGTGTATATTCGTCTGACATTTGACAATATTGTCAATTAGTTTTTTATTCTCACTTAAATGGACTCAGCTACTAAATTCCACATACTTTTCGTTCTAGATTGACATATTTCACAAAGATCTTTATAATGAAGTTACATAGACAAATAATCTTAAATAGGTGAAGTCGTGGGTTATAGAATAAAGGTGAACAGCATTTGAGACAATGGTACCATCGTTCAGAGACTAAAACCAAATTTTGATGGTATATCCAGCCATATGAATGAGTCACCAGTTAACTAACCTGTAAGTTTTAGAATAGGATTTGAACTTAAAATATGGTGAATACTAATTTAGATTTACTGGCTACTTGATTCATGCGTACAAAAAAACCTAACAGAAATACAAATGCTTCTACCCTGACTGAAATATTTTTGGTGCCTGTAATTGTGAAATCGCTTCCATTCAAGTGGTAAAATTCTCTCAAAAATGTTTTTATAACAGTCTTTTGATTTTTATGTAGATTCAACTTGACGACATAAATTGTAGTATTGTAATGTTTCTTAAAATTCAAATATTTTGATTCCTGACCTGTTTTTACTTCATTTATCCGATGAAATAAACATCAGAGACAGTTTTAAAATTCTTGATTTGCTAGCCAACTACATTTTTATGCGTATACATTGACCGAAGAATTCTACAAGCAAAATAGCTGTAGATTAGGTAGCTTATCATCAAATCATAGTGTCTATATTCTTCATTATTATTAAGTGACATAAAATTTGATTTCGAATGAGTAGTCACTTTGGTTTAGTATAGAAATGTGATAAAAACCCGTCATTCTACAAACTTTAGAAATCAAACAAAATCTTTCTTTTGTCTACAAACGACGACTAAAATATCGTTGGATGTCGTTCAGCAACAGCTGTAAAAGTTAAACATGTGATTTTTTACACACGGGGTCAAAGTATCTTGGAACACATGAAAAAAGTAGCGCTCAGCTTTTGCCTGGTTGCTGATGTAAATTGTCTGAAAAATTGCATTTTCATGAAGTTCTATTCTTTTGATATGTTTCTGTGTTGCTGAGCATCATGAAAAATAATTTATCATCCAACCAGGATAGCTGTTTTTATTTATGAGAGACTAAACTTTTTATCAGACCTAAACTATAAGAATGAACAAGCCAAACGTATCACTAAATTACCAAGCTGAATGATCATTCCAAGATGCTCAAAGTATTTATGCACTTGACAGTTTATTTCTCAATGTAAATTGTTTCTTTAGTAATAACAGGTTAGATTTTGTAGGGTGGTTATATAAGTAGAAGGTTACATTAAAAAATTCTTATTCAGCAATAATCTCAAAATAGCTTGGTAAATTTTGGAAAACGTTATTCTTAATATGATAACACCGTTTGCTATTCAGGTATAAGATATAAATATGTTATTGAAAGGTAGTACAAAGCGGCAAAAATAAGTGGCTGGAAATCACAGCTCCCAGGTAATTTAATTCAACACATTTGTATTAAATTGTACATGCCCATAGCTCATGCGTGTTAATTTTAAGCACAAATTTTACTTTTATTTTTATCAGAAAATTTCCATCTTTGAGAGAACCTTACAGTAACTGTGAATGTTTGCAAAACTATCAAAATCACTGTATGCATCCGATGAAATATTGCAGCGATACCGCTTTATGGAATCCCAATTCTACGTCCAACGAAAACTGTCCAAGACTGATAGAAATACATCTCAAAAGAAGGAACGCGGCTGAAAGTATATTGTTTGTTTTTAATTTTAATGTAGTAAGACCTTTTCATAGTTCAAATATTTAACTGTTCAAAAACTGGATTTTAATGAGTCAAAAATCTACAAAGAACTCAGAGAACCTGACAGATGTTATTTATAATATTCAAAGAACAGTTAGCATAAAATTAGGGACTAAAACCGATGATAAATAATAGGTTCAAACTTGTTACTTATAGTCGGGCTCAATAAAAATGGATTGTACTTGTATAATTCCATAATAGTCATAATTTGCCTAAACTTTCTACGTAGAATTTTGTGACTTGAAAAGAATTGTCCCTACAACTTGACATCAGCTTGAAAATCAAGAAATATTGTCTTTTTATATCATGATTTGTAACCAACCATTGTCCCTAATGAGACTTAGAGCAGGATCTTCAAGTTTCTCACCATACATTATAAGTCTTAGCCACAAACCAGGCTTTAAATAGTATTATCGGTGAGTTTTTATGTCAAAAATTATCTCTAAGTTAGCTATAAGTTCCTGATAAGTATGTAAAATTCCCTTCAAAGCAAATGAAATAGTGTTTAATTTATCGATCTGAAAATTATTGAAGGAATTATTCTGTCATACGTACAATGTATATTCACCTATTTTAAACGATTAGTTCCCCATTTTTATCGCAGAGTAACATAGTAATTTTAACCTAGACTTGTGGTTATACATAACTTAAATTTAATACTTATATATAGATAATCTTACTAAGGAGGACTTGTGAATACCGTAACTGAGAAATTGTTTAGAAGATTAACTTTTGTGTTTGTGTAGTAGTTGTGAAAAAGCTTGGTTTTTTCACCCATGAACATTTAACTAAAGAACCTGTAATGGTCAGTACTATTTATTATTCCTGATTCGCATTTCGATCTTGCCAATTATTCGCTTGTTAACCTTGACTGCCTTTATATGTGCGTATGTGTCCATTGCTTGCCTAATTTATCACATGTATTTAGCTTATTTTTGTCTTGCTATAAACATTGAGTCACGCTCTGTCAAAGTGAGTTGATAGATTTGCCATCGCTTACCTTTTAAACTAACTAGTGTGCTAAAATGTGCACCACTTGTTTACTGTTGTGTGATTTTTTCCTGAACATTTAGAACTGTAGTAACTCATCATCAGAATTAATTAAGGTATCATTCGGCGATTCAGATAGGAAACATATTGATGAAAGTGTTATCAGAACCATATAACTTTACATTTTAATACTTAATCACATGATGTACTCAAGTGGTTATGAGGTCATGTATATTTCAAAGGTTATTTAAATCAAGAATAAATTTAACCTGAAAATCAGAGGCATAGTGACCTTAGTTTATTTCATTTGTTGCTGAAAATTAACTTTGGATTTGTATTCTATCATAAAAAAGATAATTTTTGGTCCCAGCTTATATCTAGAGACAGGTATAGGAAGTCATTTAGTTTAGTATCACTTAAAAGGTTTAGTAAACTATATTACCAAGCTGAGAAAAACAAAGTTATTAATACTGATTGGTGAATAATATTTCGGTACTAAGTATTTTATCTATTGGTCTAACTATTTGACATTGTTATTATAAGTTACATCCACCAAACTAGTTTTCAAAACACCTTGGAATTGCAATTCCTTCACTTCAGAGACAACTGCTTACCGGTTAACATAAAAGTTCATGTATCATGTTTTTTATCCTGTTGTAGTTCTATATGGTTACTATATATCATGCACTTTTAATGTTCAAACAATAGGTTTGGGTGTAGAACTTTTGAGTCGTTTAACGGTGGCTTCTGTTGATGAAAATAGTTTGGGGGAACAGGCTGGTCTCAAATCCGGTGATCGTATTATAAGACTAAATGGAATAAACACTGCTCATTTAAGTCTCATTGATACCGCGAACATGTTACGTCGTCAAGAAACCGTGCTTTTGGTGGCCAGGGATACTTTAACGAAACAAAATCATGTTTATGATAATTTTGGTACGACACCTTTAGTAAATTCATCAAGTGTTCCAGCCAATCTTTCTAGTTTGTTAACTCACCAGCTTGGAAATGAGAAAAGACAGTATCAAGTATCACAACCGATACATTCTAATAAATCTTCGAACGAACAAATAAGGACAATGCATTTTGAACAAGCATATCAGAGTGGATATCACACTTATGAAAATTGTGAAGGCTGTCAAAGTATGTGTGAAGGTAAATAGAAACTATGAAATTTTCCCGCTACATATAAACATTAGGTGATTACAGTTTAATAATTGTACCATGATAGTAACATACTAGATTTCTTTGCATATTTTAAACAACTGAATAAGAGATATATCTATCAATTTTTAAGATACTAAAACCATTCAGATTATTAACAGTTAGCTTACAAATCGTAACTGTTTTAAACCTAACTTTGAAGATACATTGGAATTTTCTTTTATTTCCTTAAGCAGTAAGTAAAGTGTACTCTACACATAGATTTATTGTTTGTAATATATAGTTAATACAGAGCTAGACAAGAAGGGTTCTTTTGGGGATTAAAAAGATGCTTATCCTATTTGATGCATGGGTTTTATGAACAAGTACTTGATCAGATGGTGAACACTGTGGTGCGCTACCAAACTGAGACAAATGTCAGTAAATTCCCGAATTATTTTCCGTTACCTCATATAATATCAAAGGTTCCCAAGTAATTCGACGGAAAATAAGGTCTCCTATGTCTGATTTCTATTCAATTCTAGTTCAAACTCAAAATCAACGATAAGAAACAAATATTTCATCTTGTTCTTGTAAGTGTTAAAATTAACAGTGATTTAAATAGATCAAGTCCTTCAGGTCGTAAGCATCGAGCTCAACGATCGTTCAACACAATTAGTGACAACCGTTTCACTTTTAATATATCCAAACTTCACCAGTCACGATTTCTCACAAGGATTTCAAGAATATTATGAAGTAAGATACTAGTGAGCTGACTATTAGGGTTTCATTGAATTCTATAGAGATTAGTTTAATCTACAGATAACCTAGAACAGCTCAATTAAATACAACTAATATACTTTTCCTTTGGAATGTACGTTTTGTCTAAAGACTAATAACATTACTCAGTTATTCTCAAAAATGCAGTAAATTGGGTAGTTGAAAGGCCGAATATTTCAAGACAAAAATATATTATTTCATCTAAAACACTTCATTTGTTTCGAAGACAACTTATTAATATTGATTCATTTCATCAACTTTGGATGACTAATTGAAAGCGAATGCTTTTAGGCTAATCTACAGAACTGAATTTCGTAAGTTCAATCAACTGAAGTAATGAGTTGGATTCATGAAATAACCTGTTGAATTGTTCATGTAATGTTATTTTTATTAATTTTTTAATGGAATATGAGCATATTCACTATATTTTTCTATACGAATATTTATACTGTTCATTGTTGTTTGTACATATTTTCATCATACTCATCGATAGTTCACAATAGTAACTTTGAGAATCCATTTGTCAAAAATTCTAACAATTGGATACAATCTCAAATGAATACTTCCAATATTTGTAAAAACCCAATTCAACACAACTGTATACAACATAATGTATCCAGCATAAAAAATAATGAACTTTTAGAATCAAATCCAAATATAAAACCACATAAAATGTCAAATATCCATTCACGAGAATTAAGTGGTCAGCATTGTTCAAATTTATTGAAAGAAGACAAAGAACAACTGTTGAATATGTTTAACTCACCTAAAAATATAAAAGTAACACTTCAACTAAACCAGGGTAAATGTGATATTGGCTTGATATTGTATGGAGGTAATACAAAAGGAGTGTATGTAAGCAAAGTGATTCCTGATTCTATAGCTGACCAAGCAGGAATTAGTGAGGGTGACAAACTAGTAAAAGTAAGCTAAGTTTTGTAAAAGATATATGATAAGACTATAATTTATGGACGACCTATGAGCTGTGCTGAAGTGATCTTGAGACGGCTCGCTTACTAAATTCAAAAGAGTTATAAATTAGTATGAAGAATTGGGAGTAGGATTTAGAGTAAGAATTTAAGGTTAGGAATTGGAGTAAGGATTTTCATCACGAACTGACATCAGCCGAAATGTTATTTCACTACATCAATGAATACATCTTGCGCCAAAATTGAAGGCTTTCTATCATTAATTTCATTGATTCATCCATATATTATTGTCTCATCAAAAAGATTACACTACTTATTAGTTTAAGATACTTCCAACAAAATAGAATAACATTAATTATGTTTTGGATGGCAGTTAACATCTATAGTACAGAGTTCACGCTTCTTTCGACTTAAAACACATCCATTAAATTTAATTACTCCCAAAAGTTTATTTTGACAGTGAAGCCTAAATGCAGTGCACATCGTTGCAAACATTAGAGCGTTATTCTAAAGACTTTTGAGTCACGACAGATATCGAATTGCTCAAATTGTATGATATTTATTATTAGTTTAATATGTTTATATTTATGCGATATTGGTATTCAAGACTGGATTTGTTCAGTCTCTCAAAGAAACCCATATACCAACAGCATGATATATGATAAAGAAGAAATACACACATTGACACATGATAAAGGTTAGCTTCATTCACAAACTTTCACTGTTCTATTGAGCACTCAATTCTTTAATACGATAATTATGCAGTGTAAAAAATTTCAACCTTGGGAGTCATATACATCCAGTCAAGTGGTTTCAAATAAGACTAACTACTCATCCTAAATTCCAATTCAACCTATAAGTCAGGTGTAAATTTTACAAAAACGTTTTTTGTATTTACTGGTACTGAACGTTCTATTGGTGCTGATTTATACAAATATTGTAAACTATTTCTAATGTGTTAACAAAATTCCTCACAATATAATTATACCAAAGAAATACATCTTCATAGTATCCCGTATGTATAAACTTGACTGCAACATATATTTCTCAGTTTATTTTTTAACACCATTTAAATGTAATATTAAATGCCGAATTTGCACTCGCCGTTTGCATTTTACAAGTTAAATTCCTTACGTTCAGGAATGTCTGAAAATCTCACTTAATGTCTTCCTCACAGATGAATTCTCTTACTTTAATTAAACATTGGCACTGATTCTATTGTCCGGAATGACAATGAAAGCTTCACAGATAAACTATCTAGCTCAGAGAACACGCCAGTAAAATTATCTACTACCAACAAAATAAATTCAAATACTCTTTTTCTAAACAAAATATCTATATGTTCTATTATTGTATTTTATTTTCACCTTTTTCAGTTAAATGGTACAGATCTAAAAGGATGGACTAAAGAGGAAGTATTTCTTGCTCTTATGGCTAGTGAGAACAAAATGATACTTGAACTACTCCGTGATCCGTCGTCATATCATAAGATGCTTAAAAGCGAAATTCCTCATGAAAGCTTCTATGTAAGAGCTTATTTTAATATGAATCAATATATTTCTGGTTCTTCTGCACTAATGTCATCTGTTAAATATTCTGGTCTTTTTATAGTAAAAGGGGATATATTTCATGTTCATGATACCCTATTGGATAATGCACTTGGAACGTGGCTGGTAAGTTGAACATTGACTTGTTTTATAACAATTTAATCTTCAGGCAGAGATGGGTAGTGTCTAGTACTGGAATCCAGGACACGCTTTTCGTCCTGTCTGCGGTTGATCAACTGAATGCCCCTATATCCTGACGTTATTGTCCACTTCAGGACTATAACCTAGTGCCTTTTGCGTTATTCACTTAGCTGCCAAGTCTTGATAGCTACTGCTAACCACTATCCGTCTATGCATATAGGTGCTTGTGATTGTTGGCAATATAGAAGCAGTGAGGTCAGGATGCACATATACAAAGGAAACTGATTTATTGCAGTCTTCGACACTAACAACGAAAAGACTCAAACTCATACAACCGAATTTAAGTTTTATTATCTTACATTTCTATATTTTGTTATGCATTCAGTGATTTTTGTGATCTTATGTCACCAGAACGAACCTGAGAAACAGAATAGATTTTGTTGGTGTCATTCTTCTTGAAGACTCCTGTTAACAGACGATTGTCTTTAGCCCGTTAATTCAAGAATCTTCCAGACATCGGGGGTTCGAAGACATAAAAGACATAAGACCCTTGATGTTCACTTTGACTCAGGAGTCCAACAATTGATCATAGCTGAAAACTTTAGTATCTCGGTTCGTTTATTTATTAGACAGATCACGTATGAATGATATATATTATCTAAACACCCCTTTTATAGTGTTGTTTTGAAAGAAAATATCGAGCTGTCCTAATAAGATATTAAAATTTTATTTTTAAAAACAAATTTTTATAGGCAACAAAAGTTTATCCGAATACCAGTAGTATTGGTCTTATACCAAACGAACAAAGAGCGCAACGTTTTATTTCAACTAATCAGTTTCAGGTAATTGCGATTAAATAACTTTAATGAGTTAACAAATATGATTATTAATTTGAATTAAATTTTATTTGAAGCTCGTTTATGACTAAAGCTACAATAAAACGTAAGAATACCCACTGAATGATAATGTCAAAATATTTGACTGGGATACGATTATAATCATTTGATTGTTACCGTAAAACAACCTCATAATGAAGTGAGTTACATTTTAGAATAAATATACTTCATATATGCCCTGGTATGGCCGAGAGTGGGGTGGGCCCTCCCTCCCTCTGGAAATGCTCTCACACGGTCACGCGTACACAGCCTCTGCCAGGGAAGTCCTACTCACTGCCTTCTCGTGGCGGGGGTGTTGTTTACGAAAGTGAGAGGACGAAAAGCGAATGTCCGGCGCTTTAAACGGGTTGGTGGACATGGAGAGTCCACCTAGGGGGGAGTTGGAAAACCCTGATTCCAAACCAGTGGTGCACATGGGCTCCAGTATCCGAAAGTAACAAATGGCGTATGAACCAATTTTTGGTCACCGGCTACTATGGGACTGCATCTCCTGACGATGCTCCACCGCCTTGTGGGTTAGACCTTTAGGTCAAAGGCTTGGGGTGTGGCCCCCCAAGAAAACCACCTGTTTCGGTTTGGGCACCCGGGCAGTATCACAGCCCTCACACAAAGTGTGGCGCACATATATTTGGTGCCCTCTTGTACCAATATTTATGTGTTCAAATAAATAAACAAATAAAATATCTGAGAGTATTACAATTGAACAACTACGCAGTACCTCTATTTGCTATACGTTTTAACAAATGGATTTCATTTCTTCCTCTACCCGTCTGGTGTACGTAAATCTCCCTTATTAATTATATCCACGAAAAAAATATAATCCTAATATGTCAATAAAATAAAACGAATGTAAATCTAGACAAATCAACTCACATAAGTAGTTTCATGGACTCGATTAATATGTGGAATATTTTACCATTAAATATTGTTATTTTAATTACTTTTACAAATCATGAAATATTAGACCTTTCCACTATAATCCATTTTTGCTGTTAGTCGCTGAGATTTGCAAGTTTAAAGTTTCGAGTTTAATTAAGGATAATTTGTCTACAAATCTTCGAGGAAAATATAAACAACCGTAATAAACGAAGTATGATTTTATTTGAGTGTCTCCACTAAAGGTTCATCTGCACTACGAACTTATTCCGGTGTAAAAAGGGTCATAAAATAGGTCAGCCAATCATAATCAGCTTAGATCATGACACATATGGTTTGACCTTAGGAAAAATGAAAATGACTAAATGTTGGGAATATGGTCCAAAAACGTTTAGCAAAAATGTCCGTATAGAAGAAAACTAGAGCTCAATATTTAGCGTAAGTTATAGTGTATGAATTTGGGTCACTGAATAAATCCAAGCTATGTCATCCAATATCCCCAGCCACCGATGTGTGTTTTTAACAATAAGTTAGTTTTTCGAAGTTAGTTGTTCACGTAATATTTAAGATAATTCATTGAACGATTATACGAACCATGTTCATTTAACAAGTCAATTTGTTGAAGTCACTCAATTTGATTCCGAATCATCACACTTTTAGAACTGAAAAACAGTCTGAAGAGAGAGACGTTTCCACTATCTCCACCTTTAAGCTACACAGTTGTAAATATATAGACTGCATTACAAAATACAGTGCAAGGCATAGATATGCCAGTTTTAGGTAAATCAGTCAGTGTTTAACATTGAAAGTGATAAAATTAATATTGATAACACCTACAAAATACTATTATAAAACTTACAGTTCATAGTAGAAGTGGTGAAAAAGGCTATAAGGTGGTGAGTTATAATTTGTACAGTAAAAAATATTCTAATATAACACGAAATAGAAGTTATGCTATCTCGGATTATTGTAATAATAATAGTAGTAATGTGGTGTGTGCTACTTATATTGATATAAGTTAGTCGTGAACAGAATGTCTGGCAGCAGCGAGACAAGAGGATCGAACAGTAAAGAATCGAAACAGAATGCAATTTATGTGAAAATGCAAGAACAATGAAGTCTGAGTCATTTTGAGACAATGATGGACATTTTGCAAATTAAGCATTTACCATATGATTGTTAGATTATATTAGCAAGTCCTGTAATTTTGTGTCAAATACATTCGATTGTCCCCACTGATGTTCTTGTTCACTACAGTAACACATGTGAATTACAAAATACAAATTTACAACTAGAAATCTAGAGGTCAAAGATAGGTTTAAAAGGGGTTAGTGGTTGTGGTTTATGACACCTTTTGACGTAGCCAACTTGGTTAGGAGTGGTTTGACTCTGTTATAGGCACAGGTGTATAAAGAAGCTGAATAAACGTATTTTGAATTCACAAATTATGTTTCTTTGAGTAAATCTCAATAGCGTCTGATAAGTAGAAGAGAAATAATCTGAAACTCTTTGGTAAAGTATTCTATCAAATATTCGGAACCAAGAAAGGTTACTGTATGTTCGTTTCGATGTTTGCTATTGATCATGAAAAGTTAGGCATGGTTAGTCACAGATTTGGCAAATGCATCACATCGTTACTGTGTTGACAATTTTTTTATATTATTAGGAGAATCCTCAGGAATCATTTTCCCCCCACCATATGAAAGAGTTATACAACTGGATAAATTTCCTTTCCCTCGGCCAGTTGTAATTTTTGGTCCATTATGTGAATTGGCACGGCAACGCCTCACACAAATGTCATCCATAATACCAACTCAACTGGATTATTCCATTGAAGAACCGATTAAATTCATTATTCCACCGATTAGTTCATCTTTTACATCTAACAATATCACTAACAGTAATAACGGCTATTCAATAAATGAAGAAAATAGTAACAATAATAAACCATTAGGTTTGATAAGATTGAGTGCAATAAATGTAAGTTATTTTATTACTGAATTGTGTTTTAATTCTAGTTAAATTTAGAATTATCTTTAAATCGTCTTTCAGAACATCAAACCACTGAACAACTGTGTAAGTGTTTCAAACTCTGAAATCCATAAAGACACGTTGATAAGTATAGACAAATTCCAAAAAAAGGAGTAAAAGAAGCGATATAAATGGGAATTCAATGATACAAAATTCATTTTACTTGTAAGGGTTTGTTATCTCTCGTTGTTGATGTTAGTACATAGAACTGATCAGCATCTATTAACATATATGCATCCTCAGTAGATTGACTCGATAATACCATTTAGCTAAACATTTTAGTGAAATGCGGAATCATTGCACAAGCTAGTCGCTATTTGAACTCAGAAGCTCAGTAGATAATTCGTTGAGCGTTAATAGTGTAATATTCTGAGTTTCAGTCGAATATAAACCCTGGGATGCAGAAAAGTCAGCCAATAAGTCCTAAATTGAACGAAACGAGCCATCTGGATTCCACTGCTAGTTGCTGTCCAACATTCATTGTGCAGAAGGTCTTTGCGAGTTTATTCAGAAATTTTGACCTACTACAAGACACTGGATTAATTTGCCTTATTTACGCTTAAACTTAATTGCCTCCTAATGTTTTGTATTGAATAATCAGTCCATTGCTATTCACTTTAAACGCTATTCTATGAACTGTTTTCTGACATTTTTTACAATACCTGATGAACAACTACTTATTAAGTATTTTCAAACAGTTCGTACAACATTATTTCATTAGTTTTGTGTGACTTTAATTAGATTGTCCAATACTTCTCAAATAATTTATAAAACTTGGCTCCTTGAGCAAATGCTACACATATTTAAAACAAAAACTATAGTTTCTATGATTGCAAATGATATGCAAATAAAAATATCTCTACTTTCTAGCAAAATTCATTAGAAGCTGATCAAAATCAGTTTGGTGAGGACAGTTGAAGTAACAATGCATATTTAGATAATGGTTCGAACTTATCACTTTTAAGTAGATACTGTTTAGCAGTATTTCGTTTAAAATACTTATTAGTGGTTCACTTCATTACAAAGCATAATTTAAAAAAAAACTCGGCAGTTATATTCACTTCCTCATAAACAATAATTAATTTATAGTTGTAATATGATTTAATGATACCTTTCACTGTTCATCTGGAAAGATGAGTATGAGTGTGTTAACATTCTTGCCAAATGTTTCCTGTCATTCAACTTCTAAAAAATCTTAAAATAAACCAAAATCCGGAATGATCATTCATATTTAACCGGGTATCTCAATTACCTATCGTATAGAAAGTCCTTTGTCGTTGACGTGCTTTTAGAGATGACACTTTCTTCATCTAGATTTCTACGGGTTGAACTTCTACCGGGAGATTCACTTATTGACCTAGAATATGCCAGTGACATAGTTCTATTTTGTGAAGACGCTCAAAAAATACAGAGTCTTCTGACCACTCTAAGCAACAATGCTAGCATGTTCGGCATGCGATTCTCCCCTCGAAATTCAAAATGTTGCTTCAGGATTGGGTTGCATCGACACCCGAAATAATGACAGGGAGTGAAGTAGTTGAGTGTGTCGATCGCTTCACTTATCTTGGTAGTCTCATCAGCCCTTGTGGTCTGGTGTGTGACGAAATCTCAGCACGGATACAGAAGGCTCGACTAGCTTTTGCCAACTTGCGTCATTTATGGCATAGACGAGATATCCGTCTACCAATCAAGGGACGTGTTTACTGCGCAGCAGTTCGTTCCGTCCTACTTAATGGCAGTGAAACACGGCCGGTAAGAGTAAAGGATATTCGTAGGTTACGAGTATTCGATCATAGGTGTCTTCGAAATATTGCTCGTATATCCTGGGACCATCGAGTAAGTAACGCAGTTGTTAGGAAACGGGTACTAGGTAAGGATGGCAAGTCAATTGATGACGTAGTGAAACTTCATCGGTTGAGATGGCTGGAACACGTGTTACGTATGCCCAACCACCAACTGCCTCGACGTGCGATGTTCAATGGTGTATGAGTAGGTTGGAAGAAAGCTAGGGGCGGCCAGACCAAATCATGGCACAAGTTCATGAAGTCACTGACAAGTAGACTGAGTCATGTTGGTAAGTGTAGACTACCTGGTTGGGGACCACGAGATGATAGCAACCGATTATTGGAGACCTTGAATGACATGACTCAAAATCGTTTTTAATAGCGCAGGTGCATCCACTCTTTGTGTTCTCCCAAATTCTAATCTTTTGAGTACTTCATTTACCTTTTTTTCCTCTTTCCAAATTTACTTCACTGGATTGTACTTCTTGAATAACATCTCCAAACCCTAATCTTTCCGAATACTTTTTATACTCTTACTAATTCTACCACTACGGGATTTGAATCGACGATTGTATCTCTGTGCTAATATGGTATGGCAACTTGAACTGATGTACGTACGTACAAAGTTCTACGTTGTTACTGACTGACTGACCTTTTAGTTCAAATATTTTTAGCTTGATAATAGCTCATCATCATCTGCAAAATGATGAGACCTCCAGAACCCATAGTTCTTATGTGAAATTTCAATATGGTATTACACAAAAATTGAATAATCCACGGACTGTTTGGTGATTGAAACTTGAGCAGTCAGCTGATTAAAAGTAAACTTGACATATTTTTACTTTACTACTGTGTGAATAATTATGTCATATCTTTTCTACTAATTTGTTTTGTAGGTACGCGATTAATAATGAAATTTATAAATTGCGATTTAAGTAATCCAACTGATACTCCTACTTACTGACCGCTTATCCGTAGGCGAATACAGTTATCCAGTGAAAAACTGTATTCTTTCTAGACACGAAATGAGTACAATTTTTTTATTTACCGAAACAAAACTATTCGTTTCATAAAAATGTTCAGTGACATTCAAAGAAACTCACTGATTCATTAGGCACAATAAAAACTTTTCTACAAAGGAAGTTTTCGTATTGACGATATCATTTAATGTTAATGATGTATTAATTCTTTATTTTTATTACATACCGCCATATGTAAATAATAAATACAAATACAATTGTGTATCGCTCTGATAAATGATTTCGTTGGTCAAAAAACCTTTCGTCGTTGTAACGTCTTCACCTTGTTTAATATTCAACTACATAAGTTTACTAAGGATCGGGTTTGTGTTTGAGATAGTTTTACAGTAATTTATTAAAAGGCAAAAGACTGTTAAAACGAATTATTTCAATGATTATAGTTATTTCAGATTATTATAACGAGCAATGTTCTCTTTCCATGTTATTAAACAGGAGTGCATGAAAAGAGGTTACCATTGCCTTCTGGATATTGGCCCAACAGCTATTGAACGGCTTGCCCTTCTCGGAATCCCTCCAATAGTGATATTAATTAATCCATCATCTGAGTATCAACTAAAAGTTTTATTAAAACACTATTGGCAATTTAACAAAACATCAAGTGCTTTATTCATTCCATCAAGAGTATCCAGTCGTACACGTCCTACAATCAAAGAGATGGTTACAACTCTATGGAATTCTGTAATTTATTTACGTCAGTATAAATCACATGTTATCACCGATACTGTGCCACTGTTAAACATTACTTCAAAGGAAAATTCTTTTTCAGAAATTGAGTGGTTACGAAATTTATCTGAAGTTATAAGACATCAGCAAAACTCACCGGTAATCAGGAATTTCGTCTTTATTTATTTGCGTTTACAACTTTTAAGACATTTTATTATCGTTAAAGAAATATTTTTATTCACTACTAGCTTTCCTAATCACTCGAAGTGAATAAACAGATGATTAAGCAAATTGTTATGAGTTTGTGAAGATTTCCGAATTTTTTATTCACCACCACGAACTGATCTAAGTTAAACGACTATGGAAAACCAGAAAGCAATAGACAGTCGTTCCATCCTAGTATGAGAATCTTCAGCCATATGCGTCATCAACCAACATAGAATCTAAAACTGAACCTTTATTGAAGCTTAATATGCATATATTTAGATACTGATTCAGTGGTACTAGGGTAAAGCGCTGTCCATGAGACTTGAAGGTGTTGGGTTTTGTCATCGATAGGGTCGTGTGCGGGCACTTAGTCAAAATTTCTTTAATAGTTCTAAATTATGGGTCGTAATTTGAACTGCTAAAAATACGCTAACCTTAACTGTTAGAATATGTAATCGAATAGCTTGTATTTGTCTTCTTTATTTTAGCATCATCAAATAACATATACATAGAATCGAGCCGGTTGATTTTCATCTATCAATAATTTTTGTTGCGAAATCATAGAAATCATTAAAAAATTTTAAAAATAATCATCTTTTAAGTCGATCCAATCATTTCTTTTCAGCATTTGGGAAGTACAGGCTTCAAGCATCAGAGATGATTTACTTTTGACAAATTAAAATTCTATTATTTTGGTCACAAACGAATGTAAATCAGCATTTTGCTTGAAATTTTGGTTCTAAATATAGTTTGAGAATGTATTGAGAAAGTAATATTTTAGAAATCATGACACTTTTGAAAACTAGATAAAATGTTTGTTGATGAGTTGTAATTTTTAATGAGTAACCTCTGTCTAGGATTTCTAAAAGAATAAAAATATCAAGTAATTAGTGTTATTTTGTTATTTATAGCTTGTATTCATAACTGATTGATATCAGTTGTGTTGCTAAAAACTAGGGAGTACTAGATAGCTGTTCTGTCTGACTAGGAAACTCCTCAAAAGTTTGCACTCGCAGGTCCCATAATGAGTATTAACTGTTTGGTATGACATAGTTGGCTATTGTTCCCTGATTTTAATGACACCCCAAATGATTTCACTTTATAGCGAATATTACATTCAAATCAGTTTGATTACCACAAAATGTTTCATCAGTATTTATAATGTCATTGTTCTAATGGTGTTGTTTATCCAAAAAAGACCAATTCTAATAATCTACGAATATGGTAGACTACTTTGAGTTATATTTTGCACTTTGTTTTTAAATTTCTCAAAGTATATTCATTTGTTTGTATTGCTAAAAGGTATGGATTGGTGAGGAATCAGAAATCGGTCAATTAAAAATCAATGAGTTAATTGATGAAGAACAAGAAGGAGGCGATGACGTCGTTACAATGAGTGGTATGAATCTTCATAGTCGTATCACATCATATTCTGTTTAGTTTAACAGATAGTATTTTTTTATTGGGGCGTAACACTTCATGTGTTTTAGGCTATGTATATCTCACTTAATACCAAGCCAGTATTTAACTGGATTTTCTCACTTTAACAGAGCTAAATAGCTTGATGATATGTAGTTCAACCTAATGCCAACTAAACATAGGTTATCATGAGTAAGTTTTTGATGGCACTATTCACGAACCACTGCATTCTTATAAACACTTGACTAATTTATATATTTAGGTGTTAATCACATATCTGATGAAACATAATGATTTTTTGACTACTTCAACTGTCAGTGGAAATGAATGCAGTAGTTGTTAAATGTTAACATGTAAATAAAGATGTTGCTTTGGAATAAAATACCCGCGTAAAAGTTTCCTGTTAAAAATCTTATATTTAAATTATTGTGAATTAACTTGTGTTTTGAAAAACTTACAATAAACCTGATTAAAAATTACAAGATTAATTTTAAGTTTACACAGATTGGGAATGACTTCTGAATTCAGCTGTAATTTTGCTTGAAGTGGTTAAAAATTTTTAACGAAATCTGCACCTGAATAAATCAGGTTATATATTTGACAACCCGGAGCAATCTGTAAAAATTCCTGAAATCTTTAGGCAGCTGATTACTGACCTATATCATCTGGTTTCACAATGAGAGACACCTTGGTGTCAGGTACCAACTCTCGTGAAACGTAAATTAAAGACTTTCTGATGTTCATACTAAATAATTAAAATCAAACCAAGTGAACTGTAAATATTAATCATTAAAACTAGTGGCCAGATTGCAATTTAATGGTAGAATTTGATCAGCCTTAAAAACTCAACAACATGTGATACAGTTGGATAGTCGGATATAGACCAAATGATCGGTGCACGCTACCTGTTAAGATATGGCATTCTTTCTAAGGAATGAAACACATCGCATTGGTTCAAAAATATGACTTTTATATCTAAACAATGAATACTTGATTCAGTCGGTCAATTATACGCTTCATTCTCTCTCTCGGGGTCAAGAAGAATATCACTTTCGAAATAAGACACCGTACAACATAAAAATATGATATTAATTACTTTTCAGTGATCAACTAGTGCAAAGAATACTTTATACATTAAACAATGAAGATTAAATTTTTCTTTCAACTTCATTTTGACTATCGTCCAAAAAGTGTTTCATTTGCCTAGCTAGTTTACATCAATAATGGTAGATATGATTGTATTCTATTGACAGTACTGAATCCCATGGAAGATCTTTGAATTTATCTTGCTTTTGATATTAGTTTGATAAATGTTCTGTCTTCAAAATGAAACATGAAACGTTTAAGTACATTTTCAGAAAGAAATAGCTTATTTCAAAGATACCTGTTGAACTAATGTCAAATTAAGGATCAACGAAAACTGGAGATTATTAGAAATCTGGTTTGTTCTAATTTAAACTTCATCTATAGTGTACATTCATAACCTAGCAAGAAACTGAATTCATTACTTTCATTTTTTGTAGTATTTAAGTTATATTTAATTGACTAAGCCGAAATTCGAAAGTCTACACATTTTTTAAAATTAAACTAATCTGTAGTTCAAAGCTACGATTATTAAAATGTTCATGATGGCTTTTTTATATGAGTTTAAGGTTAATCGGAAAACTGAGATTAGATGATGGTTGGAGGTAGTCGACAGGAAACCCTGGATCCGGGTTTCCTGTCGACTACCTCCAACCACCATCTAATCTCAATACATAGTGCCCGCAATATCGAGTCACCTAGACTGGTGGCCACATTGCAACATGGTCGATAGCATTCGATCTGCAATAATAAGGACTAGACACGGATGACATTGATCGCCACCCAGTGATCAATCAATTGTGATAATAGGAAAACTGTTAAACTTTGAAGTAGTTGTATTGTTATAATTACATAGAAATGTATTTGATTCTATAAGGTAATTCACTAAGCAAACTGGATAAATCACAACTCAAATATCTATTTTATCATCAGTTATAATCATATCCATTCAACATTTCCAAATATAGTTTTCTATAAATTAATGTCTTACTCAGATGTATAACTTAGCTAATCAAGCACAAAACTGTATTATATAATGTCACATTCAAAATCTATACGCTTTGCATCAATTACAATACCACTGAATTAGTAAACCTTATCGGTTTTATTCATTTCTCTATGTAACAGAAATATACAGTTGATTAAAATGTTATTATTTACATAAACGTTTTGTGATAGAATACATTTATTCATCTTTTACCACTGAAAACTTGTGTAAAAAGTGATTTGTAAAATTTGTCTGTTATTCTATCTTATTTGTATAATAATAAGTTACTCATTTTTATCCATATACAGTTTACAATAAACTTATGTAATCTAGGTTACATTTATATTCATAATTTACATTTTGTTTCCTTTCAAAAATCAGATATGATACTATTACGAAGATGATTTACATAAAAATTCATTGAATGATTTAATTCGAATTACTGTAGTTTATAAAAGAATTCTATACAAATATTGAATTTATCAGGAGTTTTGTGGAGATCGTAGTAATTTCAATAGTTGAGATCATGGGTCAATTTAAGCTAAACCACCATGGAAAACCTAAAGGTACTGGACGGTCGTTTCGTCTTATTGTGAGACTTCTCAGCAGTGCGCATCTACGGCCCCGCCCCGCAGGATTCGAACCCGGGACATAGGAGCCTCGCGCGCATGCAAATAACCACTAGACTACTGAGCCAGCATCCAGTGATGTTAATGTCTAACTTCAAATAATCCACGAAATTGAGCGACACATCCACCGTTGTCATCAGTCAGTTATTATCTCACAACAGACCCGATCAAACCCTACTAGTCACTGCCTCTCACTAGAATTCCATGATATACCTCTTGAATCCAGTCACTAGTGAGCATATGTTGATTATTATCAGAGGGAGTTTCGTGGAGATTGTAGTAATTTCAATGGTTTAGATCATTAGTCGATTAAAGCGAAACCACCATGTAAAACCTGTGTTCGAATCCCGCGAGAAGGGTCATGGATGCGCACTGCTGAGGAGTCTCACAATGGGGTGAAACGGCCATCCAGTGCTTTCAGGTTTTCGATGGTGGTCTAACCTCAATTGACTCATGATCTCAACTATTGAAATGTGATATGTCTCAAAAATGTGTAATCGAAATAGTTGAAAAAAATGCAGAAAATATACTATTATGATTGTAAAGCGTTATGATCTAATCAAAATCAGTTTGTAATTTAAAGTTTCAAATATCTTTTTTTCTTTGTTTAAACAAGTCATGAGAATATTATGGCTTGATCAAAAGATCATTCACGGATGAATTTACATTGCAGAGAGATTTTTATTATTTAAGAATCCTTTTCACAATTTGAAACTTTTCATTAAATAGATGACAGATAAACTATGTACATTTTCGTAATACCTTGGATGCATTTATGAATGACTGGTCAATAATAAGATTTTTGCTATCTTTGTATTATATATAGAACCTTTAGTGAAATGTCTAATTTAATAATATCAATATATTCACTGATGACTAGCTTTGAAATGGACTAATCAACGTTTTAATAGAAATTATAATTTATGGAATCAAATGAATTGGGAATGAGTGAGCAACTCCCAAATGGTTATAAATAGGAATCAAGCCGTTTCTTTGAATGATTCCACTTGAAATGTAATCAATTAAGTTTCAACATAGTAGTGTAACTGTATAGTGTTTATTGTTGAATAAGACATGAGTTTCACTTACATGTGTACACTTCCAATGAATCAGGGCAGTTGTCCATTCGTCATTAATTCTCAATATTTCGTCTTATTGATGTCGAAACTAACCCTTTAATCCTAAAATGCAATTATTTCTTTGTCTGTGCTTCATAGATTCTTTTTACTTTACAATGGGTGAATATTGCTTATGAGAGAAAAAAAGTGTTAGAAAAACAACCATAACAAATTGAGTCAGTTTTATTGATTAGATATACTAGTAATATGATATTTGACATTCTAAATGTGGTCAAATGCAAATTCTTATTCATACAAATTATATGGATTATTTCATCGTTTCTTTTTTTTTGTAATTACCTAATTAATTATATGTAAATTGGATAAACTATTCTATATTTGTTTATTTTACCATAACAACATAGCTACGCATAACATGCTGTCTGACTGCATTTTAGATCCAGAAACACCGAGACCAACAAATTATAATGACAATATTTGCAGTGAGGAAGAGGAAATAAGAGACTCATCTCATAATGCCAAAGAAACAAGGCTGGAAATGAATGATTTGTCAGAAATGATGTTAGTTCAACAGTACCCGAAGACAAGAAATACACCCCTCCATTTCGTCATGTGCCGGTGTGTCATGCAAATGAAATGATGGAAAATACCAATAAAGATACATCATTTAAATCAAAAACTAAAGATTACTATAGTTGTACATGTAATTTTGATAATGCGAATCCGACGAATCAAGAAGAAACTAAACTCAAAGAAATAACTGAACAGACAGGTGGTAGAGTATTATTATTATAATTATTGCACATGATCTTAATTATTACATCAAACTGCAAAAATGTGATTTTAGTAAGGATTCTAGACAAAGAGTAGACTTTATCTTTCATTTGAACGAAATATTAGTCATGATCTGTTGGTCTACATCAAATATCTTTTCGTTTAACATTTAACAATTTGTGACCGAGCACATGTTTGTACCTTGTGATGTAACCTGTCGTTTTGTCTAATTAAAACTAGCAATATTACGTGGTCTTACTTGACAAAGTACTTAGGATCAGCCTCTGAAATATTTCTTAGAGTGATCTCTTATTTAACATCCCAGCACCAAACTTCCTCGCCGTGAAACTTAAAGTTCTCCCGTTTCATTCGATATCGATGAGGGTTCCAAAAATAGGATAAAACTAACTAATGCTCCTTGAATTGTCACACAGTAGCCTAGAAGATAACATCCCACTGTTTGAAGAGGTTTGCTTCCGAGTTAAACTCTCAGAGAGAAATCCATTTAAAATTCAGCTTCCAATGTAAATTCAAAATCACTATGAATTTTTTATGGTACACAACTTAAATTACATGTAAGTGACAAGAATGAACAGTTAATGTGTAGCACCTTGCTAACTGTTTAAAAAAAATTAATTTCACATGCTTATTTGGTCACGACTTTTCAATGTTCCCCTGGTATGAATGGTCAGTAGATGCAATAGTGATTGTAGTCATTATTATTGGACTAATAGGACAAACTAAAAAATCCGAATAAACCTGAAGAATTAGTATGGAATGTCTGTTTCTACAAGTGATACCCTTGCAATATATACAGCTACTTTAGCTAACCTCACAAACTTTCTTTGTGTATGAATAGTTTATTGACTGTTCACACGAATGCTTTGCTGGTTAGCGATTTCAACGTCATCATTGACATCACATTTATTAAACAGTTACAAGATAACAAAGATCACTTGTGTTGAGCTTTGAAAGTTCCATATAAAAGCACTTTCTAAGGAAACTAACTCAGTATGTTACATTCAAGGAGCTATTCGTTGTGTTTAGTAGGGAAAATTGCAAATTGTTCGTAGAAACAAAACGCATCGAATGTCCGATGTGCACTGTCACTTGACTGAAATATTAATATATTGTGTCTTGTATGTGGTTGACACATCGATTCGGTGGCATAGGCCAGGTTGACTGAGTCGTGATTGATCGATAGACTGCCTTTTTATTTCCCTTATTTAATGTTATCAAAACAACCTTGACGTCTAGTAGGGGATGGGCCTATGTGTAAACGTATGATACAAAATAAATTACTGTATAACCGATAAAGGTTTCCTTCCTCCTAATCTATTATTGCTTCAAATACAGTTTCTGTCGTTCAGATAATGTTTTTCTACTCACCAATGAAACAAGTTCTTTGGATCGAAATTCAAACCCCAGGTTAAAACACGTAACACGGTTAATTACTAAGATCACTGGATTCAAGCTTACATGATTATGTGTGTTATGAAAAAATCTAGTTTGCGAAATATTTTTTAACTGCTTCATATATTTTGCAAAATCAATTATGACCAGTAATTAACAGGATGTAATCGGCACTAACATCTTAGTTCCGCAATCGACCCAGTGATTCATTAATAAACTTAATTTATTAGCTTTTAATTAATTATGTAACTTCCCTTTAACTCTACCTTTCAAACGGAACATGATATCTTCCTCAAATCTCAGTAGACATACAAACTGATTCAGCAGTATTATCAATGTCAAGTTGATGAAGACCATAAAGTACAAGTTTTCGACCGACAATCCCCTACTGAATTAATGTTATTCGGCTAAGCCAATTTTTTTGCCAGGTTCTCCAATCGAGATGGTCAGAAACCAAACCTTTAATCAATTGTTGAGGAATAGCTATAGCTCACTCACTTCTTTAAAGTTTCAACTGATTATGCTATTTAAAAAGCTTTGCAATCAGACCATTCAGCCTAGAGAATACAAATTTGTTAAAATCATTCTCCTGAACTACAAACATTCCCCACAAACTCTAAGTTGAATTAACTGTTTCTTTATTCTTATTTAAATTATTACTTGACCAAAATTTTCTTGATAAATCAATCATCATTCAGTATGTAAAATAAGATTAATTTATTTTAATTTTTTTCTCTTTCACAAACAATTAGATATTTTATCCATGAACATTTCGCCATTTTCATTAGAAACACTAAGGCTACATATTGAATCAATGTCAGTAAAACATCCACGATTTGATCAATCCTTTGATGAAAAGTAAGCAATGCTAATTTGCGTAAATGCTCTTGTTTATTTACATTTAAATAGATGTTCTGTTCTGTGTTTTTCTTTTGTCGAAACGTTTACAGACAATGACAAAACGATAGAATCCGAATCAATACCTTGGAATAATAAACATATTGATTAGACAGGTTGAAATCATGAGTCACTTGAAGCTAGACCACCATGGAAAGCCTGGAAGCACTGAACGGCCGTGTCGTCCTAGTACGCGACTCCTCAGCGGTGGGCATCCACGATCCCGCAGGATTCGAACCCAGGACCTACTGGTCTTGCGCGCGAGCACTTAAACACGAGACCACTGAGCCGGCATCCAACGGTGTTAATGTCTAACTTCAACCAATCCACGAAGTTGCGCCACCGTACACCATTGTCTTCAGTGAGCTGATATCTCACAACAGACCTGCTTGAACTCCACTGGTAACGGCTTCTCACTAGAACTCCAGGAAATGCCTCTTGAAGTCAGTCACTAGTGAGCAGTTGATTATTATCAGAATGGGTTTTGTGGAGAGTTTCAGAAATTTCACAGGTTGAAATCATGAGTTAATTGAAGTTAGACCACCATGGAAAACCTGATTGAAGTTAGACATTAACACCGTTGGATGCCGGCTCAGTGGTCTAGAGGTTAAGTGCTCACGCGCGGAACCAGTAGGTCCTGGGTTTGAATCCCGCGGGGTGCGGGACCGTGGATGCCCACTGCTGAGGAGTCCCGTGCTGGGACGAAACGGCTATTCAGTGCTTCCAGGTTTCCATGGTGGTCTAGCTTCAATTGACTCATGATTTCAACCTGTGAAATTTCTGAAAATCTCCACAAAACCGATTCTGATATTGGTTAAACTTTATAAATGATAACTAGGATAAACCTTTCTAACCAAGTATTAAAATTTCATGACTTAATCCTAGATATTGAAGTTTAATTAGGGTGCCCTTATGGGTTTTGCTATTTCCGTTAACATGAAGGTTTTATTTATTATCCAACTTTGTTTACGACTGTTTTCATTCACTACTAAATGAAAAAATTTTATTTTACAATATGATGGAGAGAACATTTAGCTTAGACATACTCCAGAATAGTAATAAAAGTAACATAATGAAACTGTCCAACTTAAACAATTGCATTTACTAACAACACGATGTACATTAATTATCATGGTTTCACAAGCTTGTAGCGAGCACGAAGATGTTTATTGTTATAATTAATGTATGTTCCAAGGATTCATAAACTGTTTTTATTTAGTATATTTATGACTTATAAGTTCTATTGTGTTAGTATACATAAATTCACCTAGTGCGATTCAATGCATTTGATCCTATCATGTATATGCTTTCGAAACACACCTCAAAATAAAACAAGCAAAGATGATGAGAATAAAAAACGGGAATGAGAAGAACTTAATCTTTGTGCTTTATATTTAGAATATTTTGTACCACGAATTTCATTTCATTGTCGAGGAGTCCCACAGTAAGATGAAACAGCTGTCCAGTGTTCCCAGGTTTTCCATGGTGGTCTAGCTTCAATTGAATCATGATCTCAACCATTGAAATTTTATTTCACTTGAGAATTCTGTTTTGTTGACCGTGAGAAATGAATTTATGAAATAAATTGCTGTTTAAATGATCAATTATAACTGTTCATCAGCTTAATAAATGTGGTCTTATCTTTGTAAAGTTAGGATCATGTGGTCAGTTTAATTCATTAGTGAAATTCTACTAAAAGATAAAAACTTCTATTAAAATATATCTTCAAGACTGAATAAGTATTGTGAAAGATTATTTGACAGGTGTTAGATGAGTTATATATTCCCCTATCCTTATTATTACTCAATTATTATTAATCGTTCATCGTTGTGGGATTGTGTCGGGCTTTGGTGTGGAAATATATTCACGTTCTAGTCAGGCTAATCACGTGTTCTTCATCTGATTGGTGTTAAACTCCTGTAGAATAGATAGTGGGGGGAATCTAGTGTAGATATTCGTCTGAGGAAAATTACCATCCCATACGTGTAGACGAAGTAAAACCGAGCGTTATAACAGTTTCTTTTCTTGTATAAACTCATGATAATGATGTTAATCGTTTCAAGATCACCATCATATGGAAATTCTAATATTTGATGAAGAATATTCTTTTCGATAAATTCTCTTCAGGTTTTACAATTATATATCGAAATTGATAATCTGAAAAATGGCCAGGTTAAGGGTAAAGTGAATTGTTGAAAGTATGTGAATTTAGGATTGTCAAACAAAATAGAGTAAAATTGTTAATGTTTGTATGACTCACATAAAATGTTAACTTAGATCAGCTTATATGTTAGTGAAAATTTTATGATCCGCGATCGGAATAAATAATGGATCAGATAGAATGTGAGAAATAATAATGCAATTACAATTCGATCAACTGTTTAATGGAAGACTAAATTGTGTAAAAAATTATTAGTAAGACATAATAAGGTGTAATGAATACGAAATAAATGAATCATTTATTGGGAAGATTAATAATTATGCTTAACCAGTATGATAATAATAGTGATAATAATAATAGAAAGATTTATGAATAAAGACAACAGAGACAATTACATTTGACTACGAAGGGTCGTAAGTACAATAACCAAATTAGGCTATCCAGTAACTAAGATTACTATTGATTAATTGGCCTTGAGGTTGGCCAGGGGCGGAGGAATGGTTAGAGATATTTCCTCTGTACTCATAGCTCCAGTTTCTTCATCCGGATGGCTACTGCTTCAGCCGTTTGTAGGACTTTGAGTCTAACAAGCTGTAGCAAAAAATTACTGACCCTATAAATATTGAAAAGGATTAGTTCATACTGGCACTTATGATCAGTTTGTACTAAATGGGCCAATATCGAGCTGTCCACTTTCTTCACCAGACCTTTGCTTAGTCACGCTGGGAGGTGTTCATGAGCAGGAAAATGTGAATTCCTAGAACTTCGACCAATATAACTTGCTCCAGAGGAGCTGTCGAACTGAAAAATACAAAATGAGGTGGTCATTCTAGGTAATTCATCTTTTAACCTCAGTGTCATTATTGAGCACGTAGAAAACACTAATCGTAGTTCTCCGGCGTTGAAAGATTGTTATATTGTCCTGCGTAATCTATAAGTTAATATCTCACTAGCCGCATCCTCTCTGAATTGTAGGCGCATAAACAGGAATTTCTTATTCGTCGTTTGTAATGGTATTAACTTGTTATAGAAAACGTGATAATCAACAAATATATTAAAACAGTTTTTTCCTCCGCTAAGTATAAACTCTTGTATCATGATAAAAAATCTATTCGTCTAGTACAATTTACGTAACATAAACTTAAATAATATAAATTGTAACTTCAGCAAAACGTTTACAATTCAAGGTTAGGTGTGATACATAAAGCTAAAATTACTGTTGATATTAAGTAGAATATACAAAGCTATTTGAAACAGAAGTGAATGTCCTGGGTTTTCGAGATAAGATCATTATCAATAAATCTTGATTAATACAGTTGAGAGAACAAAACTACTAAATTCACTAATCTCTTAACTGATAGTAAGAAATACTGATGATAAAGTGTTTGCTAGAAGTGAAATCCTAAGTAAAACAATGATTCTGTAAAAAACATGATTATATGATACTTTTTCTACCAGATTCATATTTTCATATCTGAAAACACAGTGGACTTAGCATTCAGTATATAGTCACAAAGAGTATGTGACATGATGACCGCATTTCATATACTGATATTAATCAACATTCCATTATTTTATATCCAAGATCCTTTAATTTTGATCACTTTTCATAGGAAATTGGTTTGAATTATTGTTTCATTTAAATTCGTTTAGTAAACCTGGTTTTAGTAATATCCACCCAATCAATGAATTAGAACCAAATGACGGTCAAACTCCGACAATCAGCCCAACTCTTTCTTTACACCAACTAGTTTTTGATGATATTACATCTTCAGATCTCCATACAAATGATGAGCAAAAGCCTTCATCAGCAGATTTAATTAGTAATGTAGCTGATCCTCATCTGGTATTTCATCACTTCCTACATCACCAAGAACAATATTAGCCGAAAAGTGTGGGGAGTTCGGCTCACAGGGTGGAATTTTGGAAATACCTGAACACAATGTCTGTTTGAGGATTCCCGAAGGAGCTATTTCTGAGGAGGAAGGTCTGCAAAAAATATTTATTAGGGTAGGTCCTAGAAATTGTGTATATGCAATGTTCAAGAGTTTTTAAAATGAATTCAGCTTTAATTTCATAAACTTTAATGACAGAAGATTATTGTATATTCAACACAATTTTCATTTCTTAAATTATTTATCTTGACCTTTAAGTCCCAGTAGTTGTTCTTACTTTTTCCCATCAAAAGTTATGATATACTTTCACAAAGTATGAGATGGATATTCTTTTAGTATACATTGCATTTAGTCAGTCCGAAAATGAAACAATGTTCATATACTAGTTTTCTAGTTAAATACTTCGCTTTCGAATACAAATAAGTTTCTCAATATTTAATAGTTTGGACACGCATAAAGAACCTTAGAAATAGAAAAATAGTATTTAACGATTTAGGCAGTTAACATAGACCTCATTAAATCAGATTCAAACCAAATTGACAGTGAGGATAAAGAGAGTGCACATAGTTGCCACAAACTCTGGAAAGTTTTGCTATCAAGTGGAGGGTCCTCTGATAGAGAGAATGGTCAATATATGTTCTAATTTGTATAAATTCACCCTATTTTTGGGTAGTTTTTGTGACATTATGTTTGTAAATAACTATTAATCGATTATGATACAAACTAACCTCACAGTTATGAAAGTACGTGCCTAAACAAATAGATCTTTTAATTGTGCAGAGTTGACACTTTTCCAGTCGAAGGGAAATGTATATTCACTCATTTGGCGGGTTTGAACATGTTAAACTTAGGTCTTTAAAAGTTAATTTATAGATGGTAGTAATACCGTCAGCTTTTTAAAAAAAATATTAAACGAAATAAAAGCATATACAGCATAATGGTTAATAATGTAGACAAAATCGCTTTACAGAGTAACTCCGTGAAGTACAACATAGAACCAAAAAATCACTTATTGTACAACATGTAGAATTAGATGTATCATACGATAATACCAGCTGACTAGTTTGGGTTCGACGAATTTCAGCAAACATCCAGTTACTTAGGTCTTGATCAGTAAAAGGCTAAAAATGCTTAATTTTGTAAAATAAACTCTTAACGAACAATTACTTTTTGTTTCATTTCAATAAAGGTTTATGAAAGCGAAAATGAATTGCTCATAGATAACTTACCATGTGAAACACATCAATCATCTGACAAACCTATATTAGTCAGTCCAATGGTTATGTGTGGTCCCAGAGGTTTAACATTTCATAAACCTGTTGAACTTACTGTCCCAAGATATCCTCTAGACTCGGAATCTAGTGATGAATCCGAAACAAAACTTGATAAACATTTAGAAAAATGGAATTTATCTTATTACATGCTTCAGCTATTTCTACTTCAACATCAACTGATGATGATTCTTTACCAAGAACTCACGTTCAAATGAACCAACAAAATGGCATGAAATACCTCTAAGTGCTAAATGTCAATCATCTGTGAAAAACAAAACTAATTCTCAAAAACAAAAACATAACACTAATCAAGGAATTCTTTCCATTATTAAAGACTCTCATATTTCAATTTTAATTGATCATTTCTAATTTGTTTTTAACATTTCTAAATAGTCTCCTCCAAATGTTTAAATATGAAAATCAGTGAATAAACCCATGAAAATATAATGCAGAAAATTGTCACTTATTATGTAAAGAGAGCAGGAACAAAGATTGGTGCAGAATAATATGAATTCATTTTATTTCGTCAGGTTCTCATCAGCTGCTTACAACCTAAAATATTTGAGAATCAGCGTTATTACAAATATTGACATACTTATACATAAGAGGGTGATTAAGAATGAATAAATGTATCATGGTGTAGCGAAGATTCCGATAGAGTTAATGAGGTCATAAAATTTTGTCTCGAATAAATAGAGTTTGAGAGAGAAAGTTCCGGAACATTGAAATAGGGGTTTTTGTTACCATTTATTTCTCTATTTATTTATTGGGTCATTACTCCAACTCTTTTAAATTATATCATACATAACCGACTGATTTCAATTCATATTTTCTTTATTACCATTAATCTATCTTCATGAGTTCTAATCACTATCTCAATGTTCCGGAACTTTCCCACTCAAACTCTATTTATTCAAAACAAAATTTTATGACCTCATTAACTCTATCGGAATCTTCGCTACACCATGATACATTTATTCATCTTTAATCACCCTCTTATGTATAAGTATGTCAATATCTGTAATAATGTTGAATTTTAAATATTTCAGGTTGTAAGCAACTGATGAGAACCTGACGAAATAAAATGAAATCATATTATTCTGCACCAATCTTTGTTCTTACTCTCTTTAAGATAATAAAGGGAACTATGTGTATGAAACTTATTATGTAATTGTTTTCCTTTGTATTAATCAACTATTCACTAGCATGTTTATTCACTATATTTAGGAAAATATATATCAAATTATTTCTTAATGTTTAACTTGGTTTTGTATTATGACAGCAAAATCTATAATTTTTTATTACCGAAAATCATTATAATCTAATGTCGTGATAATCTCATAAGAGATTTATATTGGGTATTTCAAATACTTATTAGCTATTGCTATCAAATTCACTTTTATCATCCCCTTAATGCTTCGGCATCTAGTGATGAAGTTGTATATTTTATAAAAATGTTCAATACAATTTTCTCCTACTTATAATACTATTTCGAATGTTCCCAAATACTAAGTTTTCTGACTAGAAATAACCGGTACCAATACTCAGTGTATCTTAATGAAATATGTATACCAATAATCACACTCAAGAATTAATAAATTTTGACAGTTGAATGCACGAGTCGATTTAAGCTAGGCTACCGTTGAAAACCTAGAAGCACTGGATAGCCGTTTCATCCTAATATGGGTCCAGCGTAGATCGACTTGTGAATTCAACTGTTAAAATACTACGATCTTCACAAATCCTTTACCAATTAATGAATTATACTAATGTTCTATTATATGAATTATTTTTCTTTAACAAAACGAAAAAGTAACCAACAACATCCTCGTATATTTGTGTTACTTGTTACGAAAGCCACTAGCAAAAAGTTCTGATCAGTGAAAATCAACAATGATTTGATTTAAAAAATTTTTATTTTATCTTTATCGATATATTTTGTGAGATTTTTTATGATAGAGTATAACATGTTTATACAATAATTCCAAATATAAGAAAGATTACAATAATGATAGTAAAATAATCATGTGACATAGGTACCAATAAAACATAGCTCATTTCCTTACTTCCACAGGAAAAAAGACCAAAACTCGCTGGAAAACCTGGCTTTTCCAGAAAATATGTTTCACTATCCTATGTTAATCTCAAAAACCGTATCAAAGCAATAAACTTCTATTCAATTTAAAGCGATAAAGTTCACAAAATTTGAAATTTAGTAATTTATTATGTTGTTGGCTGTAGCTGTTATCCCGATTGAAGTTGTACGTTGTATTTCAGTAGACTCCTTTCAAATGTATATATTCATGATTAATCTTGCCATCTAGAGATAAAGTGTGGTAAAGAAAAATATGGGATTGTGCTTTTAATAAATTACTTTAATTTAATTCTGATATTTAATTAGCTAAGCATATTTGTGTATATATATATATTCCCTTATTGGTTGAAAATGTAGTGAATCAATCATTTGTGACCCATATGTAAGTTCATATTCAGATGTAGTACTCCCATTCTCTTCCATCAGCCAATCCGGAAGTTACACACTTGAGTTGTTGAGTTAGTGCGTGTGTAATAAACCGATTTCAATGGAATTTCGTGTTTGAATTAGTGATGGAAACTTTATAGGACTTATTGCTGGCACATGAATAAATTTTTATTTACAGTCCTACATTTCTTCCTTGAATCATGGAATATCAATGTTTATTGCATTAAACGGAGGCAAGTCAACCATTTAGTACATAGACCTAACACATAACCTACTAATATTTTGTCGTTTCATAGCAAGATTAATTTCTCCAATGTTGAGCCAGAGTTAACGCAGTTATCAAAACGCGCATTCCAAGAGGAAGGAGCCGAATGCCTTAATTATGAAGCTCTAACTAAACTTGATTTACAGCAAAGATACCAATACATTGATAAGCTGCTATGATCAGTTCCCACTTAGTTGTCCGCTTGCTGGTGTAGGGCTAGTGAAATGTCACTGGGGCCTATCTAAATAATTCGGAGGTCTGGTCACTAATTATCAAACACATCGTCGATCCCTGTCAAGGACAGCCAACGTGCATCAGTTAATCGTAAGCTATGGACTGGCCCACGCGATGGTGGTCACACTTCCGCTTTTACTTACTTCAACTAATATATTCCTGTAATATTATCCTTTGTGTTGTTTGGCCTTCAAAGCATATATAGTACCTTGATACAAGAAAAAGGTAATCCATGTTAGGTGTTGATCGCGAGGTGTAAATTCGATGTTAGCTAGTGGTCACATCATTCCCGTCTAAGTAGAGTAGGCCCCCAATCCTTCGACAAATATTGTAAACGTTGGTAATTTACACCAGTTATCTAACATGAAATCATTTGAACTAATGAGAACAATGTTTTTGAGGTGACGCCAAGTATTTAGAAATAGTATTACGAAATACCAGTAATTCCAATCGGACTATGAAACTGTGGCCTGATTATCTGACTCCGATTTGATTGTATGATGATGACAACTAAATCTACATATTGCCGATTCTCGCACATAATTGTCAATTTCATTCGTACTTCAGAAAAACGAAATAAGATGCATCGAATACGAGAATGAACTTCGGATGTATATGTTTCATACACTTGCTTCTCCGGAAAAACAGTAAGAAAAACGAAGCGGAAAAATGGATCGTAGAAGTCAAACATCCCGACTGGCTATTCCACTCATTATAAGCGTTCATACTGCTCAAAATAGCCCATAGTATGGCAAAGAGACAGGTATTGGGTGAAGTAATAGGTGATGGTCATATAAACAAGGCACGTAAGCGTAAAATCACGACGACATGTAAAAAAGACCTGTATGTGTCCTGAAGGTCACAATATTCTGTGAGGACAACAGTTATTATGAAGGTAAAAGTGACTCAATGGTCACATGCTCTTTGAGTCGCTGAAGTCTGTTCAATAGCGTGGATGATTCATATAGGCGTGTATTGGTACTACACATTACAGACTTCAAGAAAAATATTAAGAGCTCAAATTCAAGGAGTACAAAATGGAAATGTGTTGCATTGTTATCCGTAGATCAAAACACATGACGTTTTATTTCTTAATAAACATTATGACTGTCCGCCCATTTTCCTCAGGGGATTAGAAATTACAAAAATTCTGTTGCTCAATATGCACCGTACATCTAACATTTTTCAGTGACTCGTTAATCTCAACATTTTACTTAACATATAAGGTGATTTAAGTTAACATTCCATATGAGACAAATAAACATTGGCAATTTAATACTTTTTGACAGTCCTAAATTCACATGCTATAACTTTAAACGATGCGCTTACCATAAATCTGGCCATATTTCGGATTAATAATTTGATGCATAATAGTAGAACTCGAAGAAAATCTATCGAAAAGACTTTTTTATATACATATTGGTGTCGTGTTTGTATGAACTAATGACTCCTTTGTACTTGATGACCGCCTGATTTCTAATTCCAAATACAATGCTTTCGTTTATGCTCACCTGGTTCTTCTTGGTCTAAATTGGTTATGCCAGTAATTCCTAGTTCGTATAACAATTCGAATACTTCTGATCATCACAATTGATCTTTGGATATATTGTAGATCTTTAACCAATTTTTCCATTCATTCAGCGTGTGAATACAATGAATGTATATAAAGGATTTCATTTTCCCCAATAAATTTCACTTTATTCGCTATTTTCGTTCGTCATGTTGAGACGAGCTATAGTAGTGTGCTCATATATTACTTATATAGATAACCTAAGATGAATAAAATGAAATCCTCAACAAATTCTCCGGCCATATGTGAAACACCTCCAAAACGTTTGTAGTGGTATTGTTTCTCAACAGGATGATCACTGAGTCCGAATGTACGATGACTGAGACGATTCATATTCACCATCGAACACTTGAGGAAGGTCAGAAATAGTGGGTGCAGAAGTCCTTAATCGACTTGGTATAGCTGAGTTCCACAGAAGTGACCGCTATGTAACCACTTGATGTCAATGATATTATTCTATCCCTATCTCAAATATGTTCTTCAGAAGTCCCATAAATGTTTACTGATAAGATGAATCATTAAGGGCTGTGATGTTACTTTCACGTTGGATTTCACAGATAAGATATTCACATCATATCTAGAGTCTTGAATTTGATCTGCTGGCATAGATAATTGTATTTGTAGACCTTAATTGAATAGTTTAACATATAAAATGGCCCATGCTATACTTTTATTAAACACTGAGAAAAGGAGCATAAAGCAGACAGGTTATTTGTTGTATATGACGTTCCATTGATCTTGTCTGTTGGCTATCATTCCAATAAACTCCCTGTTCCCCAAGCGCAGTAAACAAGCAGGATAGCCTAACCGCAAAGTTATAGAACTGGAGGGCCAGCGAAATTTTTTCGTGCCTTAAGGTAACCCTCGCGCTATTGATAGAAGAAACCAGACAAGTAGCGAATAGGTCTTTATTTCGATCTTCGCGCGGTCGCAGTGGAGCGTGGGGTTATTTTATTAGACAAACAAAGCCTCTCAACGTTCAATATAAGATAATAGGAAATATAACGTTTATACAAAATAAGGAAGTGAATAAATATTTGAACTATATTGTTTTGGCATATGCTTGGTTGTTTGAGGTCAACTCTTAACCAACCAACCTATGCTGTTACAATGTCACTAAGCCCTACCCAAACCATCCGGCAGTTGGGTCATGGATATCGAGCAAATCATCGATCCTCGTCAAGGTCAAGGATGAAAACGCGCATCGGTGCTGACCACGAGGTATGACTTTGAGGCTAGCCAGTTTGTCACACCATTCACGTCTCACTCGAGTAGGCCTACAATCATTTCGACATAGATCATCAACGTTGGTAATCTACAGTACTTCGTCCGATGACATGTCAGGCAAAAGATGGAAACGTTTAAAAAGTTGTAGTTGTAATAAATCCCCGAAGTCAATAGCTCTGTTAGTCTTCGACATCTGATAGTGGGCACATCATTTGAAATGGACTCAGCTTGATAAATGTACTCGGTATTGCATCCGCACCAGATCACGTGAGGAGGAACGCCGTACATCACATCTATAAAAGCGAGCCAACCTAGAATGATCAATTCTTAATACATGAATATTTTTTCAAATATATTTTCGAACCTTTTGACTTCTGACTTCTTATTTGATTGAGGTGGCAAATTTCGCCATTAAAATGTTACTAGTTAAGATGTTGTGAAACTCCGGATACTTGTGAACGTTTAGATCTTTCGGTCAAAGACGTCGTGAAACCATGAATACTTGTGGCATCTTAAAGGCTCTAGACCACTTCCACACTGGAGTCAGAACGATTATACCTTCTTTCGAAGTTCGCGCATTCATAGTGAATATAGAAACATTGAGCTAATTTCTTAGCTGAAAACCGGGATTCGGATAAGCAAACCAGAATATTACGTGATTACACCCAACATTAGGACCGCAGAGCTTGAGTTGCTTGAAACTTTCAATTGGAAATAGACATATCCTTTTGAAAAAATCATCCGACATTAAGTCTCTAGTAATGAGGTTCTGTGAAAATGTTGGTTAATTGAAATTATTGGGCGCGTTTTTTGTGGTCTTAAGGTCGTTGTTGCGTTTACAATGTGGGCATTCTAAGTTGCTAGGGTCGGATAACCTTTTCTTTTATTTCATCGGAGTCTTTTAGGTTCGTCCGGAACGTGATTAATCATACCCAAATCACTGTAACTCGCTTGTTATTTGACTTGAAGAGATTTTCTTCACTTTATTATGTCGTGCCGGTGATTCGGCATGGCTATAATTGCTGAACAAACCAGTCAGAATCTCGCCTATACCCATCGTAGCGCTTCGTGTCTTTCTTGTAGGGACTGTGGGTACTAGTGAGGCATGCATGAGAAGTGTTGGGATTGAGAACAAGATGGAATAGTGAGCCAGTGATCCACGAAACGCTTAATAAGAAAAATAACAGGTAATAACCGTGGGTGACACAGGCTTCTAACTGAAATGATCTGAAAATCGTGACTAAAAGTAAATGATTCAAGTTTTTAAACCGCTACAATATGACTAAACAGCGTTTTAGCATCATAGCTTATTTCAGCTCATGATCCCAGTCCTTACTCTCTTTAACCGGAATTCCTAACTGTCATTTCTGTCCATTAATCCTTACACTAGCTTATATCCTTGTTTTGACTTGTGTCAGTGACTGAAGTTTCTCTTGGCCACTTTGGTACCTCTTGGACATCATTCATACGTTATAGTCTCACTCACTGAAGCATTTTGGGGTGTCATATTTCAAGGCTTACTTTACTGGATGAGATCCTAGTGGGTTCGAAGTAGGTCGGGTGCCTAAATAGATACTTCACATCAACAGTTATAGCCATTGATTGTCATTCTGAGCCTTGTTAAGTCTTGACTACTTGTTCAGTGTTTACAAAATCAGCGTTTAAAGACGTTAAATAATTTTCTTCTTCAGCATCTCTTCCCTACCTTGTTTTATTTATTTATTTATTTGAACACATAAATATTGGTATGAAGGGGCACCGAATACATACACGCCACACAAGTCACTTGATTTGTGTGTGGGCCATGATACTGCCCGGGTGCTCAGATCGAACAAGGTTACTTTATTTTAGACCCATATTTTTAATGTTTGGTCTTTTGCAGTGTCGCCGTCTTTATAATACTCGAATTTTCTTACATTCATCTCGTAAATTTCACTTCATTGTGTTGATTAAGGAATAAGGACTGGTACACACTTGTCCCAAGCTTTACATCCGTTGCGAATGACTGATGAACAAGTATTCCGTCGTACCACTGTACACCAACTTCACAACTGACTGCGAAGTTAGTCTGACTAAGGAATTACTTGTAAAACAGTTTACTATTTTTTGTGCTATTCAGAACAAAGATCCCGTGGACTGTACTCTCCATCGCCATACTAACTACTCAGTACTGACATGTGATTATATATTCCTTTTGTTCTCCAGATTGCGTACTTGTTTTGAAGATCAATATTTCCTAAGAAATAACTTTATTTGCTGGCTTGCAGTCAGGATGAAGCTTTTTCTGCACAACATACTTACTTCTCGTGTCTTAAATTCTGTGAAAGTGGGATATCCACTAAAATTGAAAGTCAGTTACCACTTCTCGCAGTTAATATTTTCAGGCCAACGCATTAAAGGTATCAACAGTTGATTATGACCCTGCATCAGTTGCACGTTTGATTCCGAAAGTTGAGTGGTCTGTTGTGAAGTCAGTGGCAGATGAAGTAATTGGTCTATTCTGTATAATTTTTTAATAGATTGGTGAAGAATACATTCCTTGTTTGCCAGAAGAAGTCCCGGTTAATTATTCGGAAAACGAAGAATTCTTAAAATTGGCACACCGAGCACTTCTTGAAGTCGACGTAATGGAGGGTGTACTGGTTTGCCCAGAAACTGGTCGAGAGTTTACCATCTCAAACGGAATTCCAAACATGTTGGTCAACGAGGGTGAATAAGTCCATTGTAAAGTTCCTTGTAAATTTCTTCTGCATAATAAATATTATACCATCGTTAATTTCTGTATATGGTGGCCAGACTTTAAAATGTTATAACACACAGCATCTCAACCAATAAGCTAAGATACACCAAACAACGGATCACAACATATTTAAACGTGATGAAAAAGGTACAATAGTATTAGCGTATCGGTTAAATATTCTATATTATCAGTTGGTGATGAATCAAATATGACATTTAAAGTAATAACTATACTAACTAAACAGAAGATGGCCTCTAAGAAGTGCTCACTTAGTTTATTTTGTCCTTCTAAATACATCATGTATTTATAACTGGGACCTAAAAGTTGCAGATCTGAAGTCGTAACTCAGTAACTTCAATCAGAGTATGAAGTCGATCCTTGAAATATCTGCAAGTTGAATTCCAGCCTTGTCTTTGTCCTGCACTGCATCGCTTCAAAAAAGAATACATTTTGCTAAGGCTTGTGTGCACCTTTATGAATTAAACAGACTCATTTAGTAATCAGTTGTTTCCTTTTAAGTATATATATATATATATATATATATATATATATATATATATATTCTTACGGCATTAGTAAATCGGTTAACCACGATTTTATTACTAATCAGTTGTAAGCCGCCTAACCTATGTAACCGAAGTCGAACCCAACATACGTACGTTGAAATATTTCGTTAATGTAAACGATATAAAATAACTATGTCTGTACGATAGAAACTTGCAACTCAGATGGGTGATTTCAACGAATTTTGCCCTCTGAGATAGTAAGTTTAATCAGAGAGCTTTCATTGTTCTTCTGAACATCAGAAGTGACCATACTTCCAGATGACTTACTGCATGACGCACTCTTAATAAAATGATAAGTATTCTATCATGTTTGAACACAGGAGTATTATAATCATCAGTCATTTACGTTCTTCTGATATCTCGGAATTTACTAGGTCTCATCGTTAGCGTTATCAATATCTGTTTATCCAAAGTACATAAATGTCGTATCTGTTTTACGTTGGCCGTTTTTCGTGCTATATTTGTCTGTAGAGGAATGTTTATTGATGAACTAACAAACTAATTTTCATCGAATTCTGTTTGTCCTTTCATTTGACCAGTAAGATACCCAACAAATCCAGCTACTGAGTTCTAGATCCTCACGCCAATTATGCTGTAGACTTCCTTAGAATAAATGCACTGTCAATGCTAATTGTGACACTAAGGTAGACTTTCTCGATCTCGTTTCGATAATCTCAAAGTCATCAGGATTGTACTTAGCTGACAAAATAAAGTACTATACTGAGGCCCACTGGTAATTAATTTTATCGACTGTATAACTAGTATTTTGTAGAGTTGGTGACCTGTCTTTCACTCTAACAATCTACAGCTTTATTTAAACCATTACTTATTACATGGATAAAACATTCCAGATTTTACTATGAATAATGGTAACACATTGTTCCACTATAGGTTATGTCAACATCCGATTTACAGTTCGCTTACGTTACTCAGTCCTTAACTCCTAGATGGGAGTGTTATATGTACGAAGATAGATCATTTTGTACGTGGATCTTGTTGTAAATAGCACCTAAACTACAGGTTATTTTACTTGGTGGTATGACTAAAGCTTATCCAGGATTCACGGATGTCCTTGCTGATTAATTTCCTGGAAAGCGTTACACGAGGTTGTTGTTTGGAGAATTTCATGCTGGCTGTCTTCCCACAAATATACTGTAATATTGTGGGAAAGGTTCCGGGAACAGCCACACGAGTGTACAAAGGCTTTTTTAGGACCATGTATGTGGGTTGATCGCTGAGTAACATTTCCCTTTGGGCCACACCCTTAAACGTAGCTTATTTAATAATGCTGAAACGATGACTACATTATGCCGTCCCGTCAGTTACGAATACTTAGTTACTGGATCATTCTTTGAGCCTTTTACATGATGAACCTAGAAGCATTAAGAGGTATATGTCTGTCACAACCATCTTCCAAATAAGTGTCAGTAATACATGACCTAGAGTTAGATCCGTACACAAAAGTATTTCTCACTATCGCCGTCATCACAGACTTTTCGATTGCCAAACATTTACCACTTTGATTTGTGCCTTTACTACAGCTCCATTTAAGATTGAGTTCATTTATCTTACGTCTGCCTTATTGCTTTTCATTTTATTTCCTGTTACCAATCCTTGTTTGTTATCTCCTAATTACCAGTTTATGTTCTTTTAAGCTTTGGTACTACATATTTTCGATTTCTTGTGATTATTTATTCCATCCTCTTCACGATTACCTTCATTATGAATTATTTGGGTGTTTTTATTAGCTTCCTAGACAACATTAACCGCTTAGAGTGAGACACGGATCTCCATCATATCTATCTAGCTGTTGTTCCCCTCAGTCCGCATAAGACTGAACAATTTCTCGATCTTTCAAGTGGTTACTATTTCAGTATATTGAAATATGTTTTATTCTACATACCAGGTATTGGTTAATTCGTCAGCAACTTTAATAATGTAGTAGCTTGTCGTAACCTTAAGAAATAATGGTTGTCTTATTCGTTTCTTTCTAAATTACTTATGGTAATGAGCTGGTAAATGAAAACTAACCTCGGTACAACTTTGTTTATTTTTCAAAATATACGTTTTTATAGAAAATAAAACAAGAGATGTGTATCATAAGAATAGACTTTTTCAATAAAATACAACTTAACAAGGTCACCAATGTTATTTATGTACAAATTATAGGGTCTTGTTTGTTGACAGATTGAAGTTTATACCCAAAACCGGTTTTTTTCTTACTTCTTTCATAACGTAGCTTGTAAATAGATTATCCAACGCGAGGCATCATCAGAAAAGGTTAAAATTGTGTAAATTAATTTTGAGGTTTACATACCCCTTTGTCCTGGTCATCTATCTTTGCTAAAATACTGTCGCGAGCTAAGCTGTCCCAGTTAACGTGCATCAACAAATTATCCATAGTTGCCTGTTGAACTACTTGTATTTATTGAGTAGTCGAAGTCGAACATAACAAAGAATGTAAAATGCAATCATAATTACTACCAACCCAACAACATTAGACCATAAATCCCATCCAGTCATATAAGGGATTTCTTGGTCCTCCAAATATGTCGTGCCATTTTGACTGTAAAGAGGGTTATGAAATGAGAGAAAGCATACACATCAACATAGTTACTTAATTTAATCACAAAAGATATGTTTAAACACTTTTGTTCTTATAATTTTTTTAAAATTTTTAATTGCAATTAAAATTACATATAATGTATACATTTTAAACCTTAATACTGAACAGTAAGGAACCAAGTGTAACAGTATAGCAATTTTTGACCGATTTCTCATCCCACTGTTAATGGTTATTTTGATTTTTTCCAAAAATGTTGCATAAATAAAACAAGAATAATAGCCGTTGGAATTTGTTTCAGTGAGATGAGATTGAATTCGTTACTTGCATATATCTAGTGTCATATTATGTACACATCCTATCTCAATACATTCGGAAAATAACTGGTGTTAAGATATTTCAAGCGTTTTGCATAAATTCTACTTATATATACTTTATTCATACGATGCGATGTATGTATATCGTATGACGTTTCAAGTTACAAATAACTTTCAGACAAGATATTGTAAGACTTTTATGCCTTTGCTTGCGTACATGAATGCTAATGTATTAACTCCTCATTCTAAGAGAAAATACACAAGGAGGAAGTTGTAACTAAATTGGATGGTTAGTATTTGATAAGATATCATTTGTTAGGAGTTCGCAAGATTTTAAATTTCTATCCACAACCATATTCATGATGACTTCAAAAGATTCACCACACACCATGCGAATTACCTTAAGCATTCTTTGCAAAACAGAAAAATCTTTCCTCGAAAGCCTGGTAGAGAATAATGGAGAATAAAAGAGATGAACTGGTAATAACCAAGGATTCACGAGTCGTAAAAGTAAATATCGAGTAATGCAAAAACATGCAGCCGCTTAATATAATAAATTAAACGAGAAAATTTCTTTGATATCAATAAAACCTAAGAAGACGAAGAGAGATCAAAAGAAAAAAGTTACACCAAGATAAATGACCTTTGACACTTTATTACAAAATCCTCAGTAGTACAAACTTTATAGGATTACAATCGGATCTCTAAGTGTTGCTCATGTCCAAACTGAAATTAACAGCTTGACATTTAGAAGCATTGAGTGTGGGATCATTAAAAATAGGCTACCGTTCAATGAGCGACAAAAACACATTGCTAAAGGATCTCACGAGTCAGAAATTGACGTACATACAGTGAGATCGTTTTCATACTTAATGAACGTGCTTTTTGTAGATGACGGATCGTGCGGAAAAAAGGGAAAGGATAGCTTTTTGAGACATACTTTTTTGAGTTAGTAAAGATGTAGAACACTTTCTTGTCGGCACAGTGTATTGTTTTCTTCCACAGAGGTAAGAGCACAACCAGTCAGTTGTCCAGCTAGTAGTATTGACGCTGGCAAACGTGCTTAGTAGTTGTGGTGTTGGAACAGAATCAAAGGCAGGGGTATAGTCTCGTAAGCGAACTGATATGGTTTAATATATTCTTATTGCAGCTCCTTGCACATTTTTCTGTATTTTTTCCCTCGTAATCGTCTTAGTTGTGAGGATATAGGTCGATCAAAACTTACAAAAATAGATTCAATGGGATAATAAGTGACAACATTAGTGGTGTTTGCCATTGAGTCATTTGTGAATAAATGCCAACATGTTTTTTTGCAGATCATGGATATTTTATTCTGAGCAATTCCTGTATTTAACTTTCTTTGTCTAAAATCAGAGTGTACTCTTTTGAAGTTTGTCATATGCCTTAAGCAGAACACGAATAATACAATGATCAGAATCAAAAAATGGAACATGTTTACGATTCATATATATTTTCATATTATTGAGAACTAAGGCTGAATGCTTATCTGAACGAGTGGAGAAATCGATTATTTTTTTATGACCTAGTGATAAAAGAAAGCTACAATTACATGAAATCATATCACCACATATAATTGAAAGTGAATCATTATTATAAATACATGAAGCATGTACTATAAACTTACTTAAAATGTCCTTAGAAATAAGTTGATTAAACAGCCTAATAAGAGTAAGCGGATAAATGAGTAGATGGTAGGATTAATATAGTCAAAATAAAGAATGATAGCGTAAGAACAAATAACTGAAGTGAAGGAAATTTAAACCCAAAACAGTAAGACTTGAAGAAAATTTATAATTAAATTATTCAATTCCTAATTTTGATGTATAAGAATGCTCAAAACAGTAGATGCCTGGTAAAATGATGAGAACTGAGTAAAAAATTCAGCTACATTCGATCCTTTAAGCAAGCCAATGATAATTTTATTTTTAAAAATAAAAACGATCAATTGTAAAACAACAAAGAATAAGTTATCATACCATTGCCTATTAATTGTTGTATTCGATTTATCCATAGGACAAAATCGAAGTGTTGTCATTTCCATAATCAGTAAACCGCCCATACTGTAACGAAATATAGAGAAGTAACGAAGCCAACTAAGCCAAACAGCCATAGATTTTAAATTGATTAAGAAACCAGAAAAAACCTAAAATCAATTAGAAAAAGGTTTGATATAAATCATTCATTGTTCCAAATGGATATAATCAAAGACTGATGGAGCTGTTCTCAATATTTACCCGGCAACAAATTACAGGTAGCTTTACACTTTCCGTGTTTGTTGACACTAGTCAGAATGATGTATCTATGACGTCAATGAGATGCATACTCTTTTGAAAACCTTTACATAAATTATTTAAAGCCTCAGCCAAAGATAGTATAGGAATATTTCACGTGAAATATATTTAGTATTATCCGATGATCGTTTCATTTATTGTTGCTCACTTTTCTCGGTTTTGCTATAATCATATGTACTGACACTAGTCGAAATGGTGATGTATTAACATTTTCTGCAGACAGAAATAAGAATACGAGCGCCTGAGGCTTATTAAATAGTGTTTAGTATTCGTCTCACCATGTCAAATGTAGTGGGATGCATGAATAGAAGATGACAGAGAAGTGTATTTTTTAAAATTACGATAGTAAGGTTCCATACGATCATAATAATTCAGTTGCGAATTTGAACACTGTTCAGCTTACTTTGGTTTGGGCAAACGGATAGTATTACTGGTACTCACATCTAAAGTGTGGTTAAAAGTCAAGTTTACCATTAGAAATTAGTTATATACATGACATGTACTTATAGAACTTACCATCATAAATACATAAATAATCGATATTATAGCATTAGCCAATCCAAAGACTGTAACACTTGCTGATATAAACAAAGCAATTGCAGCAGCGGCTAACGTTGTAAGGCATAGAAGTAATTCGAAAAACATAAAAGCTCCAAATGTTTTCTGTAAACCAGCCATCCAATAACATATTGGCATAAAGAATAATATAGGTAGTACTTTAGTTGGTATTATATCACAGAGAATTTTAGAGAAAAAGTATACTGAGACTTGATAATAACCACTTGAACTTTCATGTCTGCAAATGAATTAAAACAAAGATAAAAGTAATAATACAAAGCTCAACACAGCGGCTATTGTATTCTCATTTTTAAACAGACAGAATACATTAGGAAATTAGTACAATCGGTAGGAATGTCCAGTAATGTATACAGCTCAGTTTAATTTATAAGGGACTGTCGGTAACAGAGGTACCTAACATGTTTAATCACTCACTGTAGAAGACGTCTTGAGCTCTCATATTCCATTTTATTAGATTATATATATAGATCTGTTGTAAAGATTTTATCTTAAAAGAGTTTTAATAGTGGTTTAATGGAAATGATATTTTATCAAGATCTCATTTTTTAAAAACTTTCAGATGATCATGAAATAATCAGTTACAATGTCCTGACCAAATAATTATGAAATAATGCAACTTAGAAGACGTACTATAATGTAAAAGTGTGGCTTTTCTGAAATACGTTATTCGTTAACAGACTGAACTTTGAAATTTGTAAAATGTCACCAGTCATCTTTAAATTTAAATGGTTCATAATGACGTTTTCAAAAGAGAAAGACTGATGACTGAAGTGACATTTATTAGATTGAAAATAAACTAATTAAATGTTAATTTGAATTCTAATAACACACTTAGTTTAAACTGAGTCGGAAAATTCTTTTCATCTGTGTTGAACGACTGATTAATAATGATATTACTCGCGATCTGTATTCTTCGAATTTTCTGTTCTCTAACCTTCCGATACTGCTGACATTTGACAAATCAAACTGATAGACATTAAATGCAAGCATTAAGAAACAATTTAAACTTACATAAAAAGTACACGTTCTTTAATAAATAACTCAATTGTAGCCAAATTTACAAATATCACTTGTAATGTACAAAAATAAAATAATCCAGTACGATTTTGTATACCAGATTCCAAAGAATCATTCATTTGAAAATAAACTATACCCATGGATAATGCAAAAAATAAATAAACAATAGTTTGTATCACTGATGCTAGAGGATCTCGTAATAGATTCAGTATTGATCTCCAACACACTTTACTGATTTGTCGAATATATGATGCAGCAAATGATATATCTACAGCATTATCTTTGCTCTTTTTTGAACCATTTTCATATTTTTCCAATCGATTAGCGATCGAGCTAACTTCTTCCAACACACTATGTAGTATTATTTTTAAGTAGAAAAGAGTAAACGTCATTAAGTAAGAATATATGTATTCATCGAATTTATTACAATATCCTTGGAAATGTATAATATTTTATGCAAATGTTCAAACACCAAGCTAAACAGCTTTTTCAACAACAAAAAACTTTTAGTGAAGTGTATTAGGAATAGGTTCAATAATCAATTCAAACGACATATTTTCTAATTAAATAAATAGTCAGTGACTGGTTACTTTGTTTATTTTCAAGATGGGCTGAAGCATCTTGTCAAAATAACTGATCTCTTGGATAGAATTCTATGACTCGTTCCTTTCATTTCTCTTTATAGAATATTTTGATAAACAGAATAATTATTAATCAAAGACAGAAGGCAACATTCGACTACTAATTAACTAACATGAATAAAACAAGTAATTATTTTCTTCATATTGGTTCTTTGTCCCTTTTTTGATGAATAAATATGCCACCATAAATTTTAGCCATCTATTCAAGACCCGGGTTACGTGGACTTATATTTATATAGGCCACAAATATGGAGAATATGAATAGATACCCAGTACATACTATTAAATAATAATACTTTTCTTTGTTCATCTGTAAACTAGGTTTAAAGGTTCTCAGCGAAGGACGGTTGACAGAACAATGACCAATCAATTCAAAAGTATGTTATACAGTGTCAGTTCTGTCTTGATAGGTTAAAGACTTTATTCCTTAGAAAACGGAAAAATGACGTTTTTTTCATATTTTCTGTAATAGTTTCAATAATTAATTTCCTGTTTTATTTAATCACACGAAAGGCGTTTTACTTATCAATGGATTGGTTCTTACCATACAATCAAGTATGGTGACTAGATTCTTGAAAGATCAAGTTTAATTGTCTTATCTTAGGAAAGTGTAAAGTTTCAAAGTCAATCGAAATTAAGTTAATATTGTCACTATTTTGGATTTCAACAGTAATTTCGTATAAAAACGTCTCTTTATTTACTTATTTTGCATATTAGTTGACAAAAAAACATTTTACACATTTTAACACCATTTCTATATCATAAATCGAATTAAAATAGCAAATTCCTAAGACAATGTTATATTAACTTTTACTGATTGAATAACGAAATACGTTTATTGGTTTATAGATTAATACACATACTGTTGAGCCATTTCAGAAGTTTGCCAGTCTTGAATAAGTTGTTGTCCAACTAAATGCATTCTTTCTTGAGTATCATGATGGTCCATAATTTGGACATCTAAAATAATAAGTTTAATAGAAAATTTGAAAATTCTTCACTTTATCCAAATCAATTAGAAAGCGTATACGATTAATATCCAGGATTCAGTCAGTAGTTTTGTAAGTCATGCTAACAATTATGTTTGAATTATATGGTGTACGTTGAAAGATATCAATATATTTGAAACATATCTATTAAAAGACCAATAAAAAATCAGAAATCTTTACAGATTTCTTATCTTCCCACAGACTGTTCGTATGAATTTGTAAGTCCATATAAGAGAACCGAAGCAGAAGCTACTGATTTTGAGTCCTGATGTGAGCGTTAACACACCTGCGGGTACGTCCAGCTGATGGATCTCAAATATAACGGGACGTGCTTCCTTAATTTTATAACTAGCCAAAAACCATCTGTTCTGTAAAATAAATAAGAATCATCTAGCGGAAATATTTTGCCTTTGAACTACTGGTTTACAATCCGGTTATTTTCACTTACTAAAGTCAATATTTCTTTAAAAAAGTAAGACCTAAGATGTAAAACTTTGTTGTAACTCATTTCTTATCTTTTTATTCATGGAAATACATTCTACAAATAAATTTTAGAAGAACGATTTAGTGTTTTTTATCACAAGTGACTTTCTAACTGAATGTCAAATTCCAAAATCAAAATTCTTGACCAACTTCTATAATAATACTTCGCATACTATATGTAACACAAGTTCTGTTGACAGAGTCAAATGTATCTATATATTCTCTAAAACATCCTAATAAATTCAAGTTAAAGGTAAGTGATACATAATGATATTTGGAAGGTTAAAGATAATTTATAATGTTTAACTTTAGTTACAAATACAAGGATCATGAACTAATTGAAGTTGTCTTTCATATACCAAGTGAACCATCATACCCAAATTTCAGTTATTTTTTAAACTACTGGGCTTGTGTAGCAAAATCATTCAAGTGTCTATCTTCAATAACAAAATTGAAATTGAGAATCGACTGGTATTTTCACAAACAGTAATCAAATGATAATTATTTAAGATTCAGTTTTGAATTCTACTTTTTAACTATATGCATATTTCGTCTTAAAAAGATATTTTGGAACAGTAGATCAATCCCTAAAATAACAGTCTAGTGTTAGATGCTGTTAACTATTGAATGTTCGAAATCTAAAATCGCAACACATATTCAGTTAAGTGTTCAGCATACTGCCTAAGGCAGAATACGAAAATCATGAATCGATTGATGTTATACCAGCATTGAAAACCTGGAAGCACTGGATAGCCGTTTCGTCCTAGTGTGGGACTCCTGGGTTCGAATCCCGCGTGCGCGATCGTGGGTGCACACTTCTGAGGAGTCCCATACTAGGACGAAACGACCATCCAGTGCTTCCAGGTCTTCAATGGTGGCCCAACATCAACCGATTCATGATCTTAATCAAAATCATTATTATTATTATTATTATTATTATTATTATTATTATTATTATTATTATTATTATTAATTCATTATACTTGCACTCGAATAGTTATGGAATCAGTTAACTTTGATTTATCAACGCCTTTTGAAACTATTTCAACAGTTACATAGGAAAAATTCATTGTCTTTTTGACCTATGAAGTGACTTCAAGGCTATATTTTGAATCGTAGACCATTTAGTTAAGACTAACTAATTTTAAGTTTGGAATAAATATTCTAATGTTCATCGATTATCAAGCATTTCTCCTTCATAGTTTATATTCACTGAGAGTATAGTATCTTGCTCAGCTGGTAGGTCGTCATTATCACCTGTTAGGCTGAACAGTAATATATAAATCATTTTCTCTGGATGGATTACTAAGACAAATTTCATGTATTTTTTCATTTTACTTGTATTCTAGTGTATTCAGCAGGCGAACAGTTATTTATTACTACTATTACAACTGCTACAAAGTGTGACGTTGATAATGAATAAATAATATTGTTACTGAAATTAAGAACCGACCTTAGTTAGACATGCACTGAATATCTGGGAGCACTGGACCGTTGTTTCATCCTAGCATGGAATTTCCCGGACATGGGAGTTCACAACCTCACTGGCTACCGAACCCAGAACCTTCAGGTCTAGCGTAAATAGATTAACTTTAATCGACTTTTCTATTCAGATTAAAATATTATTAATATTTAATCTATGCAAAAGTACCTGACGTATTTCCATGTTGACGCAAACATTCACCATGTATAACATCCATGAAAAAATCTGGCGGATTATTATGATTTTCACAAACATAACCTGAAACAATAAAATAAAAAGGCTTTATCAATTTAATCGCATAACAATGAATCTGTGTACTTCAGTTTGAGAGTCACATCTACTGTTCTCAGTGGTGATGTTAATATGAAGGGCTAACAATATTTGGTGCTTACTGAATTAGAGTGAAGTTAAACAATTTCCTACAAGCCACTTCATTCAATAATTAACTGGATATTAGCTTCGCTTGTAAAAATAGAAATTTAATTATCAAGTGCTTTCAAAGCCAGTTTTTTTCACTCAGTGTTATTATTTGTTTTATCTTAGCCTGGGACTTTTCAGAAGTGTACCCCTATTATTCTTCAATGAATCGAACTCGAAAGCCGTAACTGTGTCTGCAAACACAATATCTATGGGCGATTGAGTAGAAGTCAACCTATCTATAATATGTCTATATAATTTATTTTGCTTTGCGGTTCACTATAGCTTTTATAGTTGAGGTTAATCCATAACAAAAATTATCAGAAAATATAATTGATCGTTACAAACCGTTGGAACAAAACTAATTATTTTTTACCAGAAACTAAATTTTCTGGTTGATTGTATTTCAAGTTTTCAGAAAGTAATTGCATAGGATATTAGTTATTCAAGTATCATATTATATCTGATCTTGATCTACATGTATAGGAATAGAATTAGGCTATATATTTGTAGACTGTTTAAACTCGGGTAAACTAAATATCGACTGGTATTTCAGATCGGCAAGTTAATAATTCCCAGTGAGTCTAAAGATAATTTTAGTCAAAGTTAATGGTAGATCTATCACAAATAAGCTACATGTTTAATTTCCCTTTACGAATTTCCAAAAATTCCGCAGTTTTAAACTCAACAATTTTTTGTTGAAAGTTAGGTCTTCTTACACTTAAACCATTCGACTTATTTCTAACACAAAAATTCCTATTCTTGGTGATATACGTTTTGTTAAACGCAATGTATTGTACGTATCTAATGACAAAACGATCTAGATTTTTTAAAAACGGATTCATAATTTTGAATATTTTGGATATTATAATTTTAATAGTTGAAATCATAAGTCAATTGAAGCTAGACCATCATGGAAAACCTGGAAGCACTGGATGGCCGTTCCCTTGGATGCACACTGCTGAGGAGCCCCACAATAGGACGGAACGACCGTCTAATACTTTCAGGTTTTCTATGGTGGCCTAGCTTCAACTGACTCAAAATTATTAAATAATCATGGAAAATGTGGAGTCAGTTACGTACCCAAACGACCAAAATAACGTATTGGTTCTTTTTTTGCCAATCCATGGTAAATTATTTGACCTCGATAGATTAAAGTTAACGTATCAAATAATTTGTAAATTGAATATTTAGGTTGATGTATAGAAAATATGATCGTACGACCACGCTTGGCTAAACTGTTGGAAACAGATATTAAGGTAAAGAGAGATACTTAATACCAGAAATAAACCCACATAGAATCTCAAAATCATGAATATTAAGTAATGATTTAAAAATTTGACTCTTATGGATTATAGATTGTAATATAACTCTGTGGGTCGTCGTAAGAAACTCTAATTATTTGAAGATGTCATAAGTAGAATGCTTATTTTAAAATTTCAATATATTATATCCCTTATATATGAAAAACATTAAAAATACGTGAATTTGGTAGCTTTGTTAAATACTCCATTAGTAGCATTCTACCGACGTTGATTTTTCTCAACTCTGTTTGATGTGTATTTAGTTGCCCTGAATTTGACCCCAGTAATATCTTATGAATGATTGTTATTGAAATATACATACCTCTAATCCTCGTTTATAATGATCGACTTAAATCGCGTTAGTGAATAACAGAATTAAGTAAGCCAAATACAAGAATGGTTTTCGAATACATATATTGTGTACACTCAATGATCTGGACAAGCAAGCAGAGGGACAGAGCGAATGAAGCGAAAAGAAGAAAGTGAAGCGAGATGACGTGCGATTAAAAAAAGGCATGTAAGCCAACTCCATTTAATCAAACGTCAATCAATATTTATAGCCAGATAAAAATAGGTTACGGACCTGATGGATAGGTCAGGAAGTGTACACACATACGCTCATATAAAAACAGTCAAGATTTATAAGTGAGTAGTTAACATGGTCAAAAAGTGACTCAGAATAGATAAATTGGCCTGTCCAGAAGCTAGAGTAAGTTATATGGGCTTAACATGTACATGTATGTACAAAACAAGTTGTAAAGAAAAAATTGGTAATTGTACTTTTCAACATTGGTATTTGGTAGTGACATTGAAACTTAAGAATGACTTGTCCTAATTAACCACTTCCTTTGATTTTCAGCTGCTCTTGTTAGGGGATATCATATTAACAGATCTACTAAGAGTCCATATGTTAGTAATTATGAATAACTTACAGTGCGGTTACATATAGGTAAAATTAGAGTAACTCACTTTATTCAGACGGAAAATAAAATAAAATCATCAAGTAAATTGTTCTGTTTCTTACGCTTTAAGTGTTTTTACGACTTGGCCTGCCATATATGCATCTAACCCCGTAGTTGGTTCATCTAAAAACAGTACTGGTGGCTCTGTAATAAGTTCCATTCCAATACTAGTTCTTTTACGTTCACCACCTGATACTCCACGAACTAATTCAGTCCCAACCTAAACAGCAAAACAACAGGAAGACGAACAATTAAAATAAACTGATAAATTCCTAACTTTATAGGAAGTGAGAAATCTAAGGTGATTTTAATGTAAAAAATATGCATTTTCCATATTTAAGTGTATGTATATAGATACTTTAAAAAGCAATAGCTTCAATATAACAGAAATTAATACAGTAAAGTCTAGACATATTATACCCTGTAAGTGTTTTTAATGTAATAAATGCCTATAAGTTATATGGATTACAGTGATGATAGACGATTCATGAAGTTTGTGTAGTAAGCATCAAATGAGTCTCATAAATCTACACAAACATAACCGTTTTATGAAGTACGCAGGATATGACAGCAATAATTTGTTAACTTTATTTAATATGACATTTTGTTATACTATAAATAGATTGTAAATCTTCTACTAGAAACTGCAAATTATAAGTTCTTTATCAAAAGAGTAGTATGATGATCATGAATTGAGTTTAATATTTCAGTTGTAATTTCATGAATTGATGGTTGGTTTACAGAAATTTTTGTTTAGCAGTAGCTTACATTTCAAGTAGTTCTTTTAGGCTCTTGATGATGAGTATATCTTGAATCAATATAATAAAGATGTAAACATCAGCTCTTCTTTCTAATACTTTAATAAATGCTCTTCTATACGTACATGTTAATTGGCAAACACAAATGAAATTTATGTAAGGAATGTATTTGTCTACTTTTGATTGTTTCAACAAGGAATTGTTTCTGATATCATGTTATAGAGTATTTTAAGTGATATGATGGGATGAAAAGTCAAAATTAGGTTGATTTACTCATTATGATTTTTGGTTCAACATTAATTCCGCTTTAATTCAATGTGATGATTACTCAGTATAGTATTCGGTTTTGTTTTCCCCTATAACCTTTTTATTCTGTAAAACATACGATACTCTTGTATTAACATGAACTATACTCAGTATATAATTCGTATTATTCATAAATGTGATTTTATTCTGATTAGTAATCAAAAATCGTTGTATGAATCAATATTTAAATGAGTGTATTTTTGACTAGACTTGTTGGTTTTTTTTTCGTGTTTCTAGCTGCTTGCGGAATATATTTCCCTCTTCCGAACTTGAACTTTTCTTTCTAGTTAACTGGGCTGGAATACATTTTAATAGCTAGCTTATTTGTTGTTGTGTCACAGAGTCTTCATTCCGTTATCAGATTAGGTGAACTCATAATCTCTTCAAATATAACATTAAGTATTTCTAAATAAATAATACTATTATTTTTAGGTTATAGATAGCTGAAGACAATCTGTAAAATAAATCAATTCACTTTAATCTGTTAACATCATTGTTTTTTTAAATCACTTAAATATATATAAAAGATAATAAGCATAAAAAATTAACGTGAGAAGAAGACTTCTGAAGCATTAACACTTGAAAGATTTTTTGTAAGTCATTTATTCATCAATGAAAATAATACCTAACTCTCAGGCTTTATTTTTACTTGTGCTATCAACAACAACAAAAAGAGTGAAAACTTGACCGAAGTCAAATTACTGCTGTGTTTTTTTTTCATGATAACAAAAAGGTAACATATATCAATACGTATACAGAGTAAGTTGAGTTCAGAATTATAATGAAAAACATGAATAGACCTGTATTTCTATTATTTTAATAGTTCTCTTTTGTTATTAACTCTAAAATATCTATCTCGAGCTTCTTGTTTTTAAATGAAGATTTGAATAAAACCAAATGTATTTATGTCAATGTTTAGAAATGACAGATAATAACAATTATTTGAAAAACAGAATATATATGTTCATTTATTTGGAAACAACATTATGTATATTAGAATAGAAACCATTTCATGTAATTATTAATTTCGCAGTAGTCCTTTTAAAAGCATAAACATTAATAGTTATTTTAACCATGGTAATTGATATTTGCGGATCACAAAAGCTGGTTATTTGTTATCTGACATGAAATAAAATTAAACTTATAAACCACTGGATACCGGCTCATTGGTCTAAACATTAGGCGCTCACTGAACGACCTAAAAGTCTTGAGTTTGATCTCCATAGGAACACTACCGAAGAGTCCCATATTAAAATGAAACAGCTTTTCAGTGCCTCCTGGTTTTCAATGATTATGTGAATAGGATAAGTTTGGTATGCAAAGTAGAAAATTCAACAATTTCACAGACACATACTAATAAGGAAACTTATTTGAGTCTATTCAGAATCATATTCTACATAAGCTGTAATATATTGTTATTAATAGTGATTTTTTGCTAGCTAGTTCACAATAAAGGTGATTTTATGAGCACATTTTCAATTTTACATCTGTTCCTACAGATGCATGCAAATGTTTAGGTAATGTTATAAACATTTCCTTACCTTACTATCCGCTACAGCATTTAAACCCAACTCGTCAATGATATCGTTGACCTTTTGATTTCTTTCTTCTGTTGTACAATGCATAGTCATTCGTAGGGCTGCTGAAAAACTTAAATTCTCTCTTACTGTTAAGGTTCCCATTACAATATCATCCTACAAATTGTACAAAATCAAGTATAACTGTAAAATACAAAACGATCTTAGTATAAACAATAATAGAAAATATCTATATAATTCGTATGATGTTACAGACTGGAGTTAGATGCCGATAAGCCATCCTCTTAGTTGTATATATATATATATATATATTCATTGTCAGGTTAATAATACATAGCTATTAACTGAACTTCATTATTTATCACATGCTTCAAGAAAACATAAATACTTCTGTGACAACAAAATGATCATATCAAAGGTGTTTTTAATTTCGTAATGTTTTACGTAAAATTTGTTGATAAATATCCAATTACTGAATGCCATGAACTGAAGTTCCTGTTAAACAATTATGGCCGTTACAAAAATCCCTTTTTATTATGTATATTCCATAAGAGAAAAACCCATCATGTGGATTGACATTGATTTTCTTGGTTGTTTAAAGTCTTAGTATAACAATATACAATAGTTGTAGCCTCTGAACAACTACACTAGTTTAATGAAAAGGTATGATAAAGAAGTGGTTCTTTGAAATATGCAGTTGTATAAATTATTTACCTGAACAACATAACCGGAAATACACTTGAAGTTTTTCGGTTGAGGTCTACCGTCAATTAAAACTTTTCCAGAAAGAAATCTCGGATCTTTACGACCAGCTAATACATCTAGAAGCCTTAAATAATTAAACAAAGATTATAAATTATTGCAAAGAGATATTTTAAAAAATTGACCAAAAATATAAGAAGGCGATAAAACTTTTTCTCCGATTGGTTAGTAGTTTATTACTTTAAACGTAAAATATATCGAAATTAGTTTAGGATTCTAGGGAATTTATCATTCCGAAAATTGTGTTTACAATGAATCAATAGTACACTAGGTAGCTCCGTTATGTTCTTTCGAGTGTTCGCACCACTCAACGTCTTTGGAATAATGAAATCAAACTGCTATATCTAATACATAACAGAGACACTTTGAGCTATAAATTTACAACTAACTTTTTCAAAATCTTTTTGATAATCCAGTTAGTTGTTGACCAAATGTGATTAATGTTAAATTGGTTACCTGAATTTACTTGACTTCACAAAACATACTTAAAACTTTCTCATTTCAGAGAATAATATTTCCAGATTTACGTTTGATTCACATGAAGTATGGATATAAAATTTATTTTTTCCTATGGAAGATAAATTTTGAAAACTATTTTGTTAAACTTTAATAAATGTGTAACATCTAATTTCCAATTCATCATTATTATGATGCAACTAGGTGAACGTAGAGCTTTAAATTTGGTCAATTCTAGAATTTACGCATATTCTCTTAAGTCTCCTTTTGCCTCCCCCATTTCTAGTCTAGTTAACCCTTTATTTTTATATATAAATGTTCTTAACAAGTATATGTGTGATCAGATTGTTCGAAATGTATTGCGCTAATATACTACATAGTTCTGATAATCGTCTTCTTAATACACTATGAACATAATGTTCAATTTGAAGAATGAATTGCCAAAAACGAATAAGTTATTTGTAATATAGAGTTCGCAATTAATTTTCCCCAATAGGTTTCTGATAATTAGCTATGGTGATTGTTCTAGAATATTTAGAACAGTACTATTATTACGTAGTATAACGGAATTTGTCTAAGAAGGTATAGAAATGAAAAGAGATCGTGTGAGCTTAACACACTAGATTATCATTATAGTTAGAAAATTAAAAATGAAGAATGAAAATGTCTAGTGTGCTTCCGTTATCAAGTCAGTTGAAGGTTAATCATCGACACTTTTTATGCACAAAGATCAGGCTTAAGCCATCGAAACGTTAAAGCTTCCGCAAATCTTAATAAGATAGAATCGTATTATTTATTGATCACTGTGAATGAGTTCACGGTGTCAACGTTATACCCAGAGTCTACTAAATAACAAGCTAACAAACTACGATGGCTGTTTTGTCCTCAAACGTGTAAATTCTTGGGAATATTTTCAGTAAAAAGAGTAGAGGTTCAACTTTCTAATTTTCAAATGTGCATTCATTTTCATTTAACTTGACATAAGTAGTTGAACGGAACACATGACAGGTATTTATCTACTTTTGTTTGTGTTACTGAACATAGTGTTTTGTTTAGTAGAACTAGTTTTACACTAGAGAATTCACTTTTTTCAAGGATGTTTTTAGTTTTTGGTTATTTCTATTCATGTGGTTTAATTATTAATCATAAGGTGTTACGAAAGATAGTTATAATAAAAATATAAGATATTAACTAAATATCTGTTTCTCACTAAGTAACCATTGAAAAAAAGCAAACAAGAAAATTCTTATGTGATCTCATTAGCTTTTCTGTACACTTACGAAGATTTTCCACTTCCAGTTGGTCCCATAAGGGCATTCATTCCGGGTCGAAGAATTCCACTAAAAGAAAACAAAATAAAACAAACCCCATATATACTAAGAATTATTCTATTGTTGTAGAAGATTAACATTTATATGAAATACTAGACAACTTTCGCTCAGGCAAAGGTTCTGGTGTTGATAAATAAAGATTATTTCCATTGTTCATCAGCAACTGTCTGACAACCTGGCCGCTAGTTTATCACATTCAGTGTAAGACTGACATATTTATGGATCAGCACAGTTTGCGGCATTCCATATTCAAATAACGAGAGAGAAAATCAACAAGATAAAAATAAAAGTAGCCGAAACGATAATACCAGTGGTAATCAGAATTCAATAGAACACAATTTTCAAAAGAAACAAATGAATTAAAAATATCAAAATATCAAATAGCATTGAATTTTCAGATTTAATATTAAATAATGAATAAATACATCATTGACATAGAGAATGGTGTAAAGTCACAACACCTAAAGTGTTCAAACATATATTACAATTATTGTGCCTGTCTCCAAGAAGTCTACACCTCTTGAACCTGTGAAGTTTAACAATAAATGGATTCATAAACTATCACCACATCTTGAAAGCGTGTGGTAGCTGTTGGGTACGAGTTCATGTAATTTTCAACTGATCGCTTGGTAGGCAGACCACCCAGTCACTTCAGTCAACTTAGCTAGCGAAATATTTCAATTTAGAAGATAATAAACATCAATTGGAGGAGAAAACTACAGTATTAAGCGAATAATACAATTACTGAACATCTCATAGATACTGGACATCAGGTCGATATCTTGCAATCTTTCAAGGTGATTATAAAATAGTCAAATTCCGGTCTACTGAAGTTAATGAAGCCGTTTCTATCAGGCGTCAGAAACCTGATTTATGTGTTAAAAAGGAGATCGTTGTTAATCCTTCTTTGACTCGGTGATAAATATTCCTTCATTATATCATAAAATTTTGTCCAACTCTTTCTTTCAGTTAATTACATCATTAAGTTCTCTTATTTCGACTGTCTTCTGGTTTAGTAATCTTATTTTGATTAATTGAGCTTTACTCAATTTATTCCTACTTATTACCAGCATATATGCATTATGTAACCACTTGTTTCTAACTCTTTAAACCTTTGTCACTATCACTGTTGTAGAATGTTCTTTTACGTAAGCTATTTATTTACAATATTTTGTTCAGTCTATTAAACTTACTTACACACTCGATATGCTTTACTGATATGTTTTCTAAATAACTTCTAAGATCTGCTATGCAAGTAATTTAAACTCATTTTGTAGTTATGATTGTTAGATACCACCGGTTGTTAGCAGTTGATGAGAACCAAACGAAATAAAGTGAATTCCTTCTATTCTGTTCAAATATTTCTTCTAACTCTATAATCAATAATTCTTGCTCCCTCAGTAATTTAACATCAGTCTTGTCGTTTGGGTGACTTTTATGTACCCGTATTATTATTTATAACTGCCATATAATCCTATTCTTAACTTTACATTTTCCTTGATCACTATATTAATATACACTTACTTCCATTACATTTTTATCATTTTATTCTGTTACATATCACTCATTTGCTAGTTTATTGTTTTTAATCATTGTCCTTAATTTTAACAATTAAAATAGGTCATGGTATTATTTGGTATACTTATAATCTAGCTGTTTGTACTCCACACCTTTTTGAAAATTCTCTACTTCCATCAACCGATTAACTATCTATTAGAAAATAGCAATATTGGCTAGGCTGTAAAGTCAAATATTGATTGAATAATATATAATATACAAGTGCAACGAATAAACCAGATCAGTAATTGACAAATGAAACACGTGAATCTTTACGAAGTCTATCATGGAAATGAATCCACCAGAAATGAAATAGTCACTAGGATTTTCTTTAAGTGTTTTTGAGTAATTTCTTACGTATATTAGACATAAATTTAACTGTTATATAGCACTAATTTGTAAGTTGGAACCAAGTCAATTTCATATCAGAAGTATCTATAGAACTGTGTTTCAATACTTATCACCTAAAAATAAGCTGCACCTCATAAATACTCCTAGACAGTGATAGTAAGTGTATGCAGTTATCTTCAATGAAAATCTGCTTGAAACGCAAGTACTTGCAAGGGATAATAAAAAGAAATACAGATTTTTGTGATGACTAGTTGACAGCTTACCATCCCCATATATACTATGGCAAAGATATCGGTATTAAATATAAAGTTAAGTATATGATACCAATACAGTTTTTTATTTATAAGTCAACTGAAACCACCATCATTAAAGTGGGCCACATTCTGAAGATAAAAATGTCGTGTTATATTATAGTGTGTAACATGTACGCAGTTCCAAGATTCCAAACAATCTTGGTGTTTGTGTTTGCTAAAAGAAAATTAAACTTTCGAAAAAAATAATTGGGAATTGTAGAAATTAACTGAATCTAATTCCGTTTATCTTAGAAGATCCCTATTGCTTTCAAATGGCTTTGAAACAAAAAACAAAAGGAAACAAAAGATGTTACTACGTTTGTGTAATTTTTTAAGGCCCGCTGACCAATATTACGTGCCAAGTCATCAATCAGAATCCTAATCTTAATTTGGTCTGTCATTTAGCTACTCTCTAGAACCTAACTTGAGTCCATAAATAGAAACCAACCTCTACTAAGTTCATATCTCGAACGGACATGGTTTACATACAGACAAACCGGACCGGACCACAACGTAAAATGAAAAGCAACAATCGTGCAGAAACCAGTTAAAATTGTCTGTGAGTAGGAGAGACTGAGCAACAGACCACAAGTAGTCAATCGTATGATAATAGTTTGTGGGTCAGCTGAAAGCTTATGATAAGCGGAATATAGAAACAAAGTAGTCTAAACACTTGATAATCATACAACAAAATTATGATTAATAATAATTCAGAAAACCATTTCCTACTTTGACAATATTCGTTCCGTTATAACTGTTTTTTATTATCGTCTTATATGTCATGGTTTGCGCTAAAACATCTATGATTGAATTCGATATAAGTAGTGCTAGAGATTATTGATGGGACCTATTGTCACAACTTTACTACAATTTTACTCGAACTCTCTCAAATTACATTTTGTTCGCTAAGTTATATTTAATAAGGTTAGTAATGACATGCAAATTTGTGTAAACAGTGAAACCAGTTTAAAAAAAAGCACTGTATATCAGAAATTTAATTTTCTTCAATAAATTTCACTTGAAAAACAAGCAAATGACAGGTCAGCAGATTCGTTTTATACTCATCAAAGACGGAATTCGCCATCGACAACTTCTGGATTCGCATAAGACGTGGCTTTTGATTCGAGCTTTTACATTGCATATTTTTATTTCTTGCTATCCCTAGTTTGTTGTGGCTCGAGGACGCTGATCAGTATCATGCATTATACCGCTCAATCAGGATTCCCATTACCGACTAGTTCACCTGTATCCCAGTAGAATCGCTGACCTATTTGCCAACTGACACGCTGATCAATAAACAACGGCCTAGATCTTAACGTTCATTGATCCTCAAGATCCTTTTTTCCCAGTAGCCAATCTGAAGACACAGACGGAAATTAGATTTATTCTCACTCATAACTAATGTACTTAAAATGACTGACCACAGCACAAAAAAACAAGAAACCATTATTTTAACACAATGACATCCCATGTGGTAGAGATTGGAAGAAACAGTTCATTATTAGTTGACAACTAAGGGAAAGCGAAACATATAGCAACAGTTAATAGGTTTACTGAAAGCTTACAATAAGAGGTATATCGAAATGCAATCACACAGTTATCTACTGTTTATACAATAAAGATATGAATAAAAATACTCCGAAAATAATTCCGAAAATTTAGACTTTTTGGATATTCGTTTCGTCATAACACAAGTTTCACATGATTGGTTTCAGGATCATATCGTTGTTTCTAATTTGGATCACTAATTGAAGTCAACTACCCACATTTCTTATCTTTGCTTAACAGAATAGTTAACAGACGAGAGCACACTCTAAATAGTACTATTCGTTAGTCATTTGTGTAGTAGCCATTTTTATTCAATATGGGCGTAATTTCTCAATCTTAATTTAAGTATATAAAAACAAAATACTAAATTTCTTCATTATTATTGATGATGTTGCATCACATATCAAATCGATATTACTCAAGAGCATAACTTCATATGTTTTAAGTCGTAAATCTACTATTCAGAGTGAACATTTATTCTAGGATGAAAGTACACCCAGCTGACGAGTCCCAAACAGGACGAAACGCGCGTGCTGGATCCCACTGCTAGCCGCCAATCATCCTTGCCATCCAACTTCTGTTTAAAAACAGCTTTAAATTACAGCAAACTATAATAAAGTATAAGAAACTGTAAGAAAAATAATATACGAAAGGTAAACTGTAAAATTTTATTTTAACTTTTTTTTCATCTCACCTTACATCATCAAGTATTGTTTTTATCACTGGTTTACTACAGAGTGTCTTTTGAATTTTTACTTCATAAGAAATATGATGAAAAGAAAGTTAGCACCACTTATTTTTTCTCGTTGACTGAATGAACCACCGGGTGTTGGTGGATATTCATCAAAATTTGTTAATGTTTGTTTTTTACTCATTGTACTTTTGACTTGGTTGTAACTTTTTTCAATATTTGTAGGTTGAATACTATTATTGGATGTATTTTCAGAGATTGTTCGCGAATTCATTTTTGTATATGGAAATTTCCCATCTTGTATTGTATCATGTAATGAACGATATTGCATATGATCTTCAGTTTGAGTGTAATTATGATCTAGAGGATCGTTCAATATTTTAAATGCTTCAAAAGATCCATCTGTTGTAACCGGTAGATCTGTGTGATCAATTGTATGATTGTGAAATAGTTTACTGTCTGGAAAATCGGACATGTTTGAAGAGTGTGTTGGCATTGATGTACTAAATTGAGTATCTTCAGGAGATGTGATTTGGCTACTATCAAATGGCTGTGGACTATTTGAGCTTATTAGCTGTTTTAGACAGTTGTGATGCTGAAATAAATGTAGAACTCAGAATAAAATCTCATTTCAAAAGAAATATTGTTTTAAATTCAAGCTTCCGATCAAATATACCTTTTCAACAAGGTTTCTTGCTTAAATGTCATAGAGGTGCGATTACATTCTATCAAACATATTTAGCTTGGTATCCATAGTTTTTAATTTATTTCGAGGTAAAATTTGTAAAGAGTATGAAGTACTATTATTCGCGCAATTATTGAAAACCAGACTGAAATGAACTTATTGTTGTATTTCATTCTGTATTTCTAATATGAATGTATAATTTCTACCTAAATTGGTATGGAACTTGGTAGGTTTATACTTAGGAGAATGTAAATCATACCTTGGAAATTATAACTGATTCTTCAAAAAATTGTAATTATGACAAAATTAGATCTAATGAATGTCCTTTAAATCAAATCAGCAAGTATTGGAGTTGATTACGTAATTCAAGGATCGAATAACTGCTGAAACTGCTTGTCATTTAGAAAGAAAGTGAATATTTTGTAGAATTAATGAATCGCAAACAACGTAGATCCGAGGATTAAAACTTACGAATATTTCAAGATAAAGAGTGAATGTATCTGGGCCAATGCAACCGATTCTAAGTCATGTCATCCAACATCTCTGTTAATTGAAATAATCGAGAGGATCTCAACCATGTTGTCTGCATGTAGGAACACAGCCCAAATCAACAAGCGATGATTTCATAGAATAATCCCACTTTTCTATTTGGTTGTATCTAGATTTCCTCCAACCTACTCCTACATCACCAAACATGACATGTCGAAGTTGTCCGTACCTAGGCATCCGTAAACACATATTTAATAATTAGTTTCCAGATGGATTTTTTTAGTTCCCTCCTGAAACTAATGACTAGTAGATTTTGTTTATATTTAGAATAAACTAGATTTTACTAATGCACTTTATGATCACCAGGCTTCATTTGTGAATTGACCGACGTTAGGAATATTAACCATTCGGTTACAGCATACAAATAAATATGTTATTGAACTCAATATCGTATGGAAAAAATAGTTCCTTACAATTAGCTACCTATTACTGCTCTGGATTAAGTATATAAGTTTTAAAACAAAATATCATATTAATATCATTAAAATAATTATGATTTAATCAGCAGTAATATCTATAATAATAACCATTAGTTATTAAGAGACAGGATACAAAATTTAGTCAGTTTTTTCCGTTAGTTAAATTAAAAATCAAATTTTCATTTATATTGATTCTCTAATCAAATTTAAAACTTATGCAATAGCTTCAATCGACTGATGATCTCAACTATTGAAATTACTGCAATCTCCACAAAACCCTTTCTGACACTAATCAACATAAGCTTACTAGTGACTTGCTTCCAGAGGTATATCCTGGATTTCTAGTGAGAATCACTGACCAGTGAAGTTCAACCGCGTCAGTTGTGTTATAGTAACTGACTGATGACAATAGTGAATGTTTCGCTCAATTACGTGGATTAGTTGAAGTTAGACATTAACACCAGTGAAGGCCGGTCAGATCAGTGGTTAAGCGCCTGGAGCGAGACTGATAGGTCCTGGCTTCGAACCCCGCGGGGCGGGGTCGTGAATGCGCACTGCTGAGGAGTCCCGTACTAGGACGAAATGGCCGTCCAGTGCTTACAGGCTATCCTTGGTGGTCTAGCTACAATTGACTCGTGATCTCAACTATTGAAATTATGCATTGGTACTGAATTATGATAAGGAACTAACTGGAAGGAAATATTTTGGAACTTCATTTGTATATTATATATTATGTTTAATAAGATTATATTATGTTTTATTTCCCATATTTTTAAAATTATATGTAAATTGTAGTCATAAGAACTAGAAAAATTTCCTAATTAAGGACATTTAAATATTTTTATACATACCATGTAATATATTACAAAAGATATGCTTAATTCTTGTTTACAGAAAAGCCATGTGATTTGTGGAGGGCATTCTAGAAAGAAATGCTTCGAGATTTTCCAAAATAGAAATCAATACTTATTTAATTCTCACTCATCATAAATATAATCCGAATTTCTGTTTTATTGTCTTCCTTAGTTTATATGATTATTAGGATAGTCGTAATAATAATGGTTTTATTAGTAATTTAATATCTACGAGAGTAGAAATTTCACCATTACCAAAGACAACAAAAATTCAATCCAACTAACAAGTCTCCAATAGGACGAAACACGTGTCCTGGATTCCATTGCTAGCCACCATCCATCTCTGCCTATAATAAAGCAATGAGTTTAGTTATGAAGTAATGATTACACTACTTTTTTGTTTGGCATGAAATAAAACTTTATATTAACCCTCATATTAACTCTTGTGTTCTTTGATGAAAGTTTGATAGCTCTACATGATCTAGTAAACTATATCTTCTAATAAATTACTCAGTTTGATTGTTTTCTGTTTTTTGTCACTTATTTCATCACTTATTGCACTATTGTGGTGTTCGCTACTTGTGTGGACAGATATAAGTAGTATCTAGCAAGAATAGGAATCCATACCAGCAGGCGACTGAAATAAAAAGAGGAAGGAAAACAGAGAGCATTCGGAATAATAACAAGATTGAAAAAATGGTGGAGTATTTAGAGGAAAAATCAAGAAAGATATGCAAATGATGTATTTAATGCATGATTTTCATAATTTACATATGCACTGTTCAAATCTTCATTTAACACACAACTGGTTTCCTACCGTCATAATTACCGGTTGGATTTATTATTCTATGTAATTACTTACTTACTTACTTACTTACGCCTGTTACTCCTCGTGAAGGAGCATAGGCCGCTCACCAGCGTTCTCCATCCAACCCTGTCCTGGGCAATCCTTTCTAGGTCCGTCCAGTTGTAATTCGTCGTTTTCATATCTGCTTCTATTATCCGACGCAATGTGTTTTTTGGCCTTCCTCTTCTTCGCTTCCCTCAGGATTCCAAGTTAGGGCTTGCCTCGTGATGCAGTTTGACGATTTGCGTAATGTATGTCCTATCCATTTCCATCGTCTTTTCCTAATTTCTTCTTCAGCTGGAAGTTGGTTTGTTCTCTCCCACAGAAGGCTGTTGCTGATGGTATCCGGCCAATGGATGTTGAGTATCTTGCGAAGACAGCTATTTATAAATACTTGTACTTTCTTGATTGTGGTTGTTGTAGTTCTCCAAGTTTCAGCTCCATACAGTAGAACTGCCTTGACGTTCGTATTGAAGATTCTCACTTTGATATTGGTTGAAAGTTGTTTTGAGTTCCATATGTTCTTCAATTGTAGGAATGCGACCCTTGCTTTGCCGATCCTCGCCTTTACGTCTGCATCTGAGCCTCCTTGTTCATCGATGATGCTTCCCAGATATGTGAAGGATTCTACATCTTCCAGAGTTTCGCCATCAAGAGTGATTGGATTGCTGTTCTCCGCTTTGAATTTGAGGACCTTAGTTTTCCCTTTGTGTATGCTGAGGCCTACTGATGCAGAGACTGCTGCTACACTGGCTGTCTTCATCTGCATCTGTTCGTGTGTACGGGATAGGAGGGCTAGGTCATCTGCGAAGTCCAAATCGTCTAATTGATTCTGAGCTGTCCATTGTATTCCGTGTTTTCCTTCAGATGTTGAGGTCTTCATAATCCAGTCGACCACCAGGAGAAAAAGGAAGGGAGAGAGTAAACAGCCTTGTCTGACTCCGGTCCTTACTTCGAATGCATCTGTCAGCTGTCCTCCATGCACTACTTTGCACTGTAGTCCGTCGTATGAGTTCCGGATTATATTGACAATCTTCTCAGGAACTCCGTAGTGTCGAAGCAGTTTCCATAACGTCCTCCTGTCTACACTGTCGAATGCCTTTTCATAATCAATGAAGTTGATGTATAGTGATGAGTTCCACTCAACTGATTGTTCGACGATGATCCGTAGTGTTGCAATTTGGTCTGTGCACGACCGATCCTTACGGAATCCAGCTTGTTGATCTCGAATTCATGCACAAAACACATTATATTTAAATATCACTTAACATGTATAACTATAAAACAAATTGGTCATCCTATTATTTTTCTAAAATAACTATTGGAAAGTAATATGGCTTGATTCATAAAAATAATACAAGGCCTAGACAAATACAAGGCTTACAAAAGCGGAGAGATGGCTTGATGGTTAAGACCTCCGACTTTTAATGACTGATTCCCTTTTTCAAACACCGCTAACTGGGTATTATTATTATTACCCTTCATAGTTAGAGTAATGTTAATACCGAAATATCTGGTCCGTAGTGAGTTAATTTAAAACTCTTTTGTAGGGAAAGATTCATTTATGTATCAAATACTAATTTAAATATTAATCAAAACGACATTGAAATATACGATAAAATATCTACTATTATAATCATTAGGTCAGTACATAAATTTCAAAGTATTGAATTGGTAGTAATTGACAATAATTAATAAATAATTAGAGGTGTGTATTTAATTTTTCAAGTAAGTGCGTTGAATTCTTGTAACTATAGTGAACGAGAACACATGTGAAGATAATTTAGTGTATTTGAATACAAGATTACAAAACGTCTTAGTAAAATCTGAGAACCATATAGTAAATACTTCATTTGCAAAATGTCATCGTGTGTGACTGTCAATACTTTCTTGACCTTAACGGATGTAAAAAATTTACCAAGTGCAACTCTACATCGACCTCTTTGGATACCAACGACGATTCATTAGTAAGAGTCTTTAAAGATACCGTTTTTGGTTTCCCCTTGAGGCCTAACTTATCAGCTAGGTCATCAACTATGAGAGAGGTATCTAACCCGCTATCTAGAAAGGCACAATTCTGAATAATCTTCTCACCAATTTTATACCTACAGGCACTACTGCAAATGCTACTGGTCTCTGTATACACTTAACGACTTCCTCCGTACAAAGCTGAGTATTGATGTAGGCATCACTATTAGTATTTCTTTGTTCTTCCCGCTTCTCGTGTGACAGGGTATGGTG